CTTTCACATTCTGTCCTGAGCACATCACGTGGCAATGTGGCAGGGTTCAAAAGCATCATTTTATGTGGCCTCACAATATTCCCAAAGGCGTGAGCATCCCCTGCCCAGCAGATCTTCACTGAATGCGTATTATGTGCCAGGCCTTGCGCTTAGACGTCAGAGCACAAAACCACTGCAGACACAACCCCTGCCCTCCGGGCACTACCAAGGTTACCAGCACCCCCTGCCCCTGCCAGCCCTGGAGTGTTCATTCTTTCCGCTGCGTCTTTATTATAAATAACTCTACATGGAACATGCTCGTGGGACCGTTCTGTATCACCATCTTTACAAAGACTGAGAGCAGGAAAATGATAGGCCCACAGAGATCTATTCCAGGGTCGGAGACAGGCTGCACTGGGCTGACACGCACAGCCCTGGGTGTCCATTCTTAGCTCCTGCTACGTTTAGCCAGACAGCATGTGGCACGGGCTTCTCCCCTAAGGGACTTCATCCTGAACCATGAGCCCACAAGCTAGATAAATTAACTTATCTAAGGTCACACAGCGAGATACAGGGAGGTACTAGGATGATGCCAAAGCCTGTCATTCAACCCCACCAGAATGGTCCTGCAGTTACTGCCCCTGGAAACAGTGGCAATAAAAACAACAATAAAATACCTCCAGCTGCTGCTGTGTGGTCTGGGAAGGATGATGAGGGCCTCACAAGGAAGTTTGTAAATCAACTTTTAAATTGACTACATATAGGCTGGGTGTGGTGGCAGGAGCCTGTAATCCCAGCACTTTAGGAGGCTGAGGCAGGTAGATCACTTGAGGTCAAGAGTTTGAGACCAGCCTGGACAACACAGCGAAACCCTGTCTCTAATAAAAATTCAAAAATTAGCCCAAGCACGGTGGCTCAAGCCTGTAATCCCAGCACTTTGGGAGGCCGAGGTAGGCAGATCACAAGGTCAGAAGTTCAAGACCAGACTGGCCAACATGGTGAAACCCCATCTGTACTAAAAAATACAAAAATTAGCTAGGCATGGTGACTCGTGCCTGTAATCTCAGCTACTTAGGAGGCTCAGGTAGGAGAATTGCTTGAACTGTGACCCTGGAGGCAGAAGTTGCAGTTAGCTGAGGTTGTGCCACTGTACTCCAGCCTGGGCTACAGATCGAGACTCCATCTCAAAAAAAAAAAAAAAAAAAAAAAAACGCTTTTTTCAAAAAAATTAATAAATAAATTGAGTACATATAGAAAAGTACGTAACTCCTGTGAGTACAGGTTGATGAAGTTTGCCAAGGTAAGCACAGAGATTCAGTTAACAGAACCCCTCCCCAGAAGCCCCCGTGCCCTTTCCCATCAGGATCCCCTCCCCACTCCCCGGAGGTAAACCCTCTTGGCATCCAGCGCTATAGATGAGTTCTGCCTGTTCCTGAACTGTATAAAAACGGAAGCATACCGTATTTAATCCGTTGAGGTGACAATCCTGGCAGCCCATCCTTGCATGGCACTTACCAGTCAGGTTCCAGCCTAAGTACTGTGTTTTATCAGGTCACCAAATCCTCTCCACAACCTAATGAAATAGGTCCTGCCATCAGCATCTCCCTCATTTTGCAAACTGGGGAAAAAAGCACAGCTCCCTGATGGCAGAGTCAGGACTTGAACCCAGGCAGTGTGGCTCTGGAGGCTGCACTCTGCACTCCACCCTACACCGCGTCTTCTCAAGGAGGTACCCTGGTTAGCTTCATTTTACAGAAGAGGAGACTGAGGCTTGGAGAGGCTGAACTACCTGGCCCTGTCCTACAGCGACAGCCTACTCCAGCTCCAGTGCCTGACACCGCCCTGGACCTCTCCCAGCCCCCCAAGCCCCCAGCCCCTAACAGTGTCTCCTGCATCCTCCCCGACAGAGGCCTTCGCAACAGCCGGGCTACGGCCGGAGACATCGCCCACTATTACAGGGACTACGTCGTCAAGAAGGGTCTGGGGCATAACTTTGTGTCCGGTGCTGTAGTCACAGCCGTGGAGTGGAGGACCCCAGACCCCAGCCCTCTCTTCCAGGTGAGCGGCTTCCTGACCGGGGACCAGGGCCGGCAGCCCTTCTTGCTGTGGGCCCGCAACGTGGTCCTTGCCACAGGCACGTTTGACAGCCCGGCCCGGCTGTGCGTTCCCGGCGAGGCCCTGCCCTTCGTCCACCATGAGCTGTCTGCCCTGGAGGCGGCCACAAGGGTGGGGGCAGTGACCCCAGCCTCAGACCCTGTCCTCATCATCGGCGCGGGGCTGTCGGCGGCCGATGCAGTCCTCTTCGCCCGCCATTACAACCTCCCGGTGATCCATGCTTTCCGCCGGGCCGTGGACGACCCCGGCCTGGTGTTCAACCAGCTGCCCAAGATGCTGTACCCCGAGTACCACAAGGTGCACCAGATGATGCGGGAGCAGTCCATCCTGTCGCCCAGCCCCTACGAGGGCTACCGCAGCCTCCCTGGGCACCGGCTGCTGCTCTTCAAGGAAGACTGCCAGGCCGTGTTCCAGGACGTCGAGGGTGTTGAGAAGGTGTTTGGGGTCTCCCTGGTGCTAGTCCTCATTGGCTCCAACCCCGACCTCTCCTTCCTGCCCCGGGCAGGGGCTGACTTTGCAGTGGACCCTGACCAGCCACTGAGCGCCAAGAGGAACCCCATTGATGTGGACCCCTTCACCTACCAGAGCACCCGCCAGGAGGGCCTGTACGCCGTGGGGCCGCTGGCCGGGGACAACTTCGTGAGGTTTGTGCAGGGGGGCGCCCTGGCTGTGGCCAGCTCCCTGCTAAGGAAGGAGACCAGGAAGCCGCCCTAACATCCGGCCAGGCCCGCTGGCTGCCAGGCCCTGAAGAGGGCAGAGATGACCATATACCTGCTGGATCCAGAGCCCATCCAACAATGCCCCAGGGAGGGCTGTCAGCCTGTGTAGCTGGCCTTTGGGGTTAAGAGGAGCGGGGGGCCCAAGCTTCTCTGGACTTAGACCAGTGTCCAAGGTGGTAACAGTGGCCGCAGGCCAGGGTCGGCCTAGACCTAGGATTTTGGGGGAAAGCTGCTAGTGTGAGCTGCGATCACCAGCAGCAGCTGCGCACCCAGCTGGGAAGCCTGCAAGCCTGCGCCTTCCAGAAGCAGGTCCCAAATAAAGCCAGTGCCCGCCTGCACTCATTCGTTTGAGGACTCTGTGCTCAGGGAGGGAGCTGCGTTCCTGGGACCCTGCACTGGGCTGGAGGGAAGGAGACTGGGGAAGGAGTCCTAGATGAGGTCCATGGCTGGGGCCTTGGGGTACAAAGGATGGTGCCCCAAGTGTGGGAGCAGTTGAGCAGGCAACTGTGCTGCAGCCTGGGGGCAGGGGTATCGGGTGTGTGCAGGGAGTGGTGTCCAGGAGGGCACTGGAGCCCCGCCTCCCTCCAGCCTGTTCCAGGCCCCCCCCTCTCTGTTCTGCCATGCAGCCTCCTTTCAGTCCCTCCTGCTGGCCAGGTCCCTGCCCGCCCCAGGGCCTTTGCACAGAGGGTCCTCAGCCCAGGACATTTTCCTGCCTTTCTGTAACTCCTCTTCCTTGGAATCTCTAAGCATAAGAATCACTTCCTCTTGGAAGCTGTTTCTGACATAAACCCCTCCACTGCCTTCCCAGCAAACACTCCAAGGTGTTACCTTTTCATAACAATTCAGTTTTAGCTTTCTATTTTTTTTATTTTTTGGAGACAGACTCACTCCATCGCCCAGGCTGGAGTGCAGTAGTGCAATCTCTGCTTACTGCAACCTCTGCCTCCTGGGTTCAAACAATTCTCCTGCCTCAGCCTCCCAAGTAGCTGAGATTACACGTGTCCCCACCTCTCCCAGCTAGTTACTGTATTTTTAATAGAGATGGAGTTTCATCATGTTGGCCAGGCTGGTCTTGAACTCCTGAGCTCAAGTAATCTGCCCTCTTTGGCTTCCCAAAGTGCTGGGATTACAGGCCTGAGCCACCACACCCGGCCAGCAGTTCAGTTTTAATTGTTCATTTATTTGTGGAATCACTTCAGTGTTTGACTCAGCCCATTTGGATGTAAGCTCCAGCAGGCCAAGGACACCATCTGCTTTGCCCATTGCTGGAACTGAGCGCTTGGGCACCTGCCTGACACCTAGTGGGTCTTCCTTAACTCAGCTTTTAAATGGATGGATGGATGGATGGATGGATGGATGGGAAGATAGGTGGGTGGATGGATGGGAGGCAGGATGGGTGGGTGGGCAAGTGGATGGATGGAGGATGGGTGGGATGGGAGGGAGGAAGGGAGGATAAATGGGTCGGTGGGTGGGTGGAAGAATGGATGGGAGGGTGGGTAGGTGGGTGCATGGACGGACAGACGGGAGGCGGAGGATAGATGGATGGATTGGAGGGAAGGTGGGAGGGTGGGTGGCTGCATAGATGGATGGGTGGATGGAGTGTGAAGGAAAGATGTTCTGGGGTGAAGACTGGTCCTGGGAGTTGTGTAATGAAGGGGGCGGCCTGAGGGGGCATGCGCCCCCCTGGAGGTAAGGGTGGGCGCCCGCGGGTGTGACGGAGCCGCGGTGCGTGGGCGCCGCTCCCCAGGGCTGGAGCCGGCAGAGGGCGCTCTGGGCTCGCTGGACACTCGCGCTCAGGCCCCTGCAGAGCGCCGCGAGTGGGAGGGAGGGACTTTAGAAGCGGGGGCAGCAGGAGACTTTTGGGGACCAGATCCCAGGGGAGCCGCCCCGCCCCCAAGCCCCAACTTCCCCGAGCCTCCGGCAGCCCCTTCTGTGGCCGCGCCCCGCGCCCCACGCCCCACGTCCCAGCGAGGAGTCCCCAGGCCCGGCGCCCGTCCGGCGGGGGTGGGGGTGGCGGGGAGCGGGCACGTGGCTCAGGGTCCGGCCGGCCCGCCCCCCCGGCGCCGGCCAGTCCCCGCGGTGTCCGCGGCCGCGCGGGCATTGGGAAGGAGGGCGGGGCCGCGCGGGGAGGGGGTCGTGCGGGGGCGGGCCGCGGCCAGGCGGGGGTCGGCGGGCTTCCGGGCGGCGGCGGCGGGCGCGGCGCGATGTGCGAGCGGGCGGCGCGCCTGTGCAGGGCCGGCGCGCACAGGCTGCTCCGGGAGCCGCCGCCGCAGGGCCGAGCGCTGGGCGGGCTGCTGCGCTGGGTGGGCGCCAGGATGGGCGAGCCCCGGGCGCCGCTGGCCCCCGCGGACCCCGCGGACCCAGGCCCCGGCCCCGCCTCGCCGCGCGGGGGCACCGCCGTCATCCTGGACGTGAGTACGCGCCGGCCGGGACCCCCGCCGTGGCCTCTGCCGGGATCCGGAGCCCCCTCCGCCCCTCGGGCGGACCCCGACGCCGCCCTAGCTCGCCTCCGTAGGGACCCGCGAGGCCTCCCTACCGGGGCAGGAGACCCCCGGCCTCTCCCCGCCCCTCCGCGTCCCAGAGCGGGAGCCCCCAGCCTCGCCACGTCCGGGGCCGGTCTCCAGCCCAGTCCTCTCCCTGACCCGAGAGACCCCCTCCTCCGCTCCTCCACCCGGGCTCCTTGGGGTCCCTGCCCGCCCACAGTGGGGATCCGTGAGCCCCCGGACCCGGCCATCGTCCCCCGAGTTTTGTCCCAGCCAAACCCCCACCCTTTACCCTGCGGGACACGAGCCCCTCGCCGTCGCCAGCCCCCTCCTCCTCTCCATCTCGGATCCTGTCCGGAGGGATACTTAGTTCTGAGGCCCCCAACAACCCCTGCCTCTCTTCGCTCTAGACCTTGAGGCTTCCCCCTCACCTTACGCCCAAAGACCCGTTGCCCCAGCCTCTGCCACTTTAAAAGTGACGCCCCCTCCCCACCTTCTGTCTCCTTTCCATACTGTCAGTGCCATCGCCCGTCAGCCCTGAGCCGGGGCTCCTCTGGCCTTCCCCACCCCGCCCCCTTCCATTCCAAGCCCCCTCCTGTCCTCTGTTCCCTTCCCCACACCCCCTACCCTAGCGAGAGCTGAGTCCTCTTCATTTGCCGCTCACCCCTCACCCCTTCTAACTCCCCTGGGACCCAAACCACCTTACCTCTGGGAAGCCCATGTCACCCTCCCCCTCGCCCCACCTGGGAGGGAGGAATCTTCAGGGAGTGGGCTGGGAGGAAGACTTCTCCCGGCAGAGAGCGCTGGGAGGAGGTGGAGGAGGCGTCTGGGGGTGTGGACTGGGTGTTTCAGCCAGGGTCCTTCCAGGGTGGGGCTGGGGGCTACCTCTGGCTATGTGGTGGGTTTCTGGGAGGGTTGGGAGTGTGTGTGTGAATGTGTACACACATGTGTATCGCAGATCCCTGTGAGAGTGGGGATTCTCTCCCTTCCTCTCTCCTCTTCCCTGCTCCTGGAACCCTCTGTGGGATCTGGACTGGAAGGGCTAGACAGGGCGTGGGGAGCTCTAGAGTGCCACACTCACAGGCACACACGCACTCACACGCTCGATTAGGCACGCACACTCGCACTCAAACACAGCCAGACACCTGTGCAGCCACGCCCTGTGCCAGGACCCCAGCAGAGCTCCCACTGAAAGTCCTAGGCTGAGCCCTGCCACCCCAGGCTGCCCTTCAGGGAAGCCTTGCCCTGTGAGGGTGGGGGCTCTGAGCCTCCATCTCCTCGGGACGTGCCACTTGGAATGATGAGTGGGGGCAGGGCGGGGGAGGTGCTCGTGTAGACTCCTGCAGCTGGCTGACGTTACCAGGTGTTAGCCCTGCCTTGTCACTCATGTGTTCAGGGTTCCTGCCCAGAGTTGGCACCTGCCTGGTTCCTGGCCTCAGGGGGGATCTGGGATACCTAGATAGGGACCCCAGCTTTGAGGAACCTTGCCCAGTCAGGAACAGGGCTTCGGGGTGCCCAGGCTGGAGCTTTGAGGAGGGCCTGGGGGTCTGAGATTTAGCCAGGAGAGGTAATGTTTGAGAGGTACTCCAGAGCTCTGCTTCCTTCTCACACCACCCAGGCACCTGGAAATGGCCAAGGGTGCCCCTGTCTCATTGCTTCGAGGGATGGAGGGCGGGGGCTCCTGTCCTTTTCCCCAAGGCAAGGACCGAGGGTGGAAAGGTCAGTGAGTATTACCTCCTCCTCCTCTGTAGCTGACCTGGCCCCAGCAGCCCTCCCTGGTGTCTAGGGAAGTGTGCACATGTTGGTCCCCGTCCCTGGGTCTCAGCACCCTCCTTGCTAAAACAAGCCGGTAAGAGTGGGGTGGGGGCCACTGCAGACCCTGGGATCCTTCCGAGGCTTTAAAGTGCTGGTTACAGGGCCGGGCGCGGTGGCTCAAGCCTGTAATCCCAGCACTTTGGGAGGCCGAGGTGGGTGGATCACGAGGTCAAGAGATCGAGACCATCCTGGTCAACATGGTGAAACCTCGTCTCTACTAAAAATACAAAAAATTAGCTGGGCATGGTGGCACGTGCCTGTAATCCCAGCTACTCAGGAGGCTGAGGCAGGAGGAGAATCGCCTGAACCCAGGAGGCGGAGGTTGCGGTGAGCCGAGATCACGCCATTGCACTCCAGCCTGGGTAACAAGAGCGAAACTCCGTCTCAAAAAAAAAAAAAAAAAAAAAAAGTGCTGGTTACAGTGAAGGGTCTGAGTGCACTACAGCACAGAGTAGGTGGGACACCTCGTATTGCAAACAAGCTCCTGCAAGACCTGGAACTGCTCCTGTGAATAGCAAGGTCTTGGCGCACAGGTGTCAGTGCTGAGTGTGCCTGGGAAGCTTAAAAAACACTGAAATCAGAGCCGGCCTCACAGCAGCTGATTCAAGCCCCCTGGGGTGTGGCCTTGGCTGAGGAGGTTTGGAAAGCACTCCAGGCGATGGTGTTGGAAGGGGCGGAAAGTTGCTTTGGAGCCTCAGCCTGGCAAGCGGCACCCGCCAGCCTGACCTTGAGGGAAGGGAGCACCTCTGTCCCAGGGATTCGGATGTCACTGGAAAGGCACGAAGACGAGGCACCTGGTCTCTAGGTTCAGGCCAGCGTTGGGGCTGCCCCCAGCTATCCCTGACTAATGCAGCCAGAACCTCGTGAAGGCTGCTTTTCTGAGCTCTTAGCATCCTGTTTTCTCCTCCCGCACCCCCAAATTAACCCAGTCCTGCCCGTGGCTGTCGTTGTCACCAGGCCTTGCAAACACCTCCGTTGGACTTAGCCCAACCTCCCTGGAAACACACCGGGGGTTCTGGAAGGACTTCGGTGGTAAAAGCTGTGGCGCTCCCTGGGACGCTAATTCAGAGTGTGATTGTGTGCGGCTGAGCGTTTCGCGGTAGGTGAGGCCACGTGGACTGATGACTGGGGACGTCCACCTGCAGGGATGGCCGTGGGCCTGCGTGTGTCTGTCAGTGTGGCCAGGGGCAGGCTGGTGGTGCTGGCGGCCGCTTCCACGTAGGCGAGGGGAGGGCCTCTGCCTGTAACATGCCTCCATTGTTCCCCCTGGATCCCAGCCCAGGGAATGGGAGAGGGAAGGGGAGCTCGGCTTCGCTGGGCCCTAAGCTACTCCTGGGAGAAGAGAAGGATCCCAGTATCCAGGCAGAAGCCTCGGGAAGGGCTTGCCTCTCCCTGGCCCAGGGCTAACTTGACCTCTCTCTTCTGCAGATTTTCCGCCGCGCCGACAAAAATGGTGAGTTTCTTTTCAGGCTGCCAGCCGCCCCGCTCCTGTCCTCGTGCTTCATGGGGAAGGGACCTGGGATAGGACACACGAGCTACCTTGAGCCTAAAGGTTTGGAGTGCAGGGCTCTAAATTTAGAAGGCCAAATCCTTCAGCTGCTCTGTGCCTCGGTCTTCCTATCTGTAAAATGGGAATCCTAGTAGGGCCTATTTAGTAGGGATCCCTCCACCTCGAGGGCTCAGTGAGTCATGTCTGTGATGCCGAGAACGATGGCTGGGGAAGGTAAGTGCTGGGTGTACGTTAGGGCTTTTTGTAGATGGGCTGGACCAGAGGAGCCCAGGCTGGGGCCCAGAAAGCCCCCAGCCTCACGCTAGGCTCTTTACAAGCCTTGATGCACTTCTTCCTTGTAGCAGCCTGAGCAGTCAGTGCTCTTACCTCTGTTGACACCATAGTGGCCCAGAGAGGTTAAGCAGTTTGCCCCAGGGTTGCCCAGCTGCATGAAAGAAGAGGAGGCTCTTCTGCACACCTGGGCCCTTTTCCCGGTGTCTCTTAGCTTCCCCAAAAGCGGAGCAGCTCCTCATGGTGACCACAGAATTCGTGGCACTCAGCTTCTGCTGACGCCTGGGATGGGCTCCACCTGGAGAAGGTGCTTGAGAATAAGTACGTTTAGGAAGGCCCAGCTGAGCCTCAGCTAAGAAAAAGCGCCACACCTTCTTGTAGCTACCATCGTCACTGTTACAGGCACAGCGCAGCTTGCTGTGGACTTCAACCAAGACGCATTCTCTCTCTGGGCCTCGGTTTTCCTGTGGCTAACGTGGCACAGTAAAACTTGCCCTGCCTACTTCCCTGGGTTTTGGGGAAAAGCCAGGGAGGAGGTGTGGGTGACAAATGTTTTTAAAGCATTTTAAAAACAAGTGTTTTTCAAGTACTAAGCCTGTTCAGGGGAAGAGCAGCCAACAGAGCCCCTGTGACCTGCCCCCGGGCCCTTGGTCCCCAACACCTCTGGCCCCGGTTCCTCTCCTGTACAAGCTGGAGTTGAGGATGGCAGCTCTGGCCTGGGTCCCCAGCCCCCCGCCTCATGCCTGGGTGTTCCTGTTGATGTCTCCTACCGAGGGCGGTGGCAGGGTGGAGTTGGAGGCCGGAGTTGGATGGGGGTGGGTGGGCAGGGGCACAGGTCTGGGCTGGAATCAGTTACGAGGAGTCTCCCACCTTGCCCTTTCGCGTCCCTGGGGGTGATGGTGACTGATCCCAGGCCTCTGGGGATGAAGGCCCATCAGTAGTGATTCTATACAGAGCAGAGGAGGAGGGAGTGAACTGGCTCTGGAAGAACGGCCTGAAAAGCCTTGCAGATGAGCCAGGGGAAGTCAGGAGGCTGTCCCCTGAGACGGAGTGTCTGGCACCCTCAGCGTCATTGCCTGTGTGCTGGCCTGGCTCCTCCAGCAGGTTGAGAGGCAGGGATTTGGGTTTCTCGCTTGCCCTGGGCCTGATACCCAGCACACTGTAGGGCCTCGGTAAATGTCTGTAGACTTGGTGGACGTGTGTGTTGGTGAGAGCGTGGCTGTTGATTGGTTTCTTGGTGACGCAGCAGCGTGTGGCTGTTGGCAGTGCATGTGTCCGGTGTGGGTCTCCGTGCCTGCTGCAGAGCACGTGTGGGCCTCTAGCCATGGCTGTACAGGCCAAGTGTGGGTACAGCTTGTGTGCGTGCGTGGCTTCCTGAGTGTGCAGTCCACAGAAGCCGTTGCAGCGTATACACATGGGTAGGAAGTACCTGGCCACCTGTTGGGCACAGGTGGGGTTCTGTCCTTGCTGCGGGCTCCTCCCATGAGAGGCCATCTGTCCACCCCCGAGCACAGCTGTGGGACCCTCAGTTTCATTCCTGCAGCCACCACAAAGGCCAAGCCTGTTCCTCCTCCTCCTCCTTGGGTCCTCCATCTTCTCAGCCACCAATATGTGGCCGTGGGGGGCTGTCACCGGGGTAAATGTGGGTGTGAGATGTGCTTCCAGCAAGAGCATCCCAGGTCCTGGAGCCTGACTGCCTGGGATCAAGTCCTGGCTCAGTGGTATACCGGCTCTGACCTCAGGCAAGTCACCAAACTCTCCGGCCTCAGTTTCCCTATTTGTAAATGGGAATGATAATGACAGCACCCACCTCAGAGGGCTGTCTGAGGACAGAGTTGCACTCCTGGCTTGGCTGGTTGAAGATGCCAATCGGTTCCAGCTGCTCTGCATCAGATGGCTGGGAAATGGGAGTCTGCAGGCCTGGCTTGTCCGGAGGGGTTAGATTCCCAGTGCTTGGCAGGGAGTCAGGTCTGGTGGAGGCTGCAGCAATCACTGAACATGTATTGTGCACCAGGACTTGAATGCGCTTTCTCCTTTAATCTTCACTGTGATCCTACTGAGACAAGAATCAACCCCCACCCTCTTTCCAGATGACAAAAACAAGGCTTGGAGATGGCACTTAACCTTCCTCACGTGGTCGGGGGCAGTGATGCAGGCCGGTTCTGATTCAGTTCAGCGGCTTAAAAGCCTTGTGTAGGAGTGGGTGGGACTTGGTGTGGGTCTAGATAGGGGAGTGGTGTGTGTGGAATAGAATGGCTGGGGAAGGAGAAATGAGCGTAGGGGTGAGATTAGGTGTCAACGGGATGCTGGGGCAGGGAAGGGAACAGGTGTGCAGGGGTGTGGGTGCAGGGATGGGAATAGGTGTGCAGGGACAGGAACAGGTGTGCAGGGGTGGGGGTGCAGGGACGGGAACAGGAGTGCAGGGGTGGGTGCAGGGACAGGAACAGGTGTGCAGGGGTGTGGGTACAGGGACGGGAACAGTTGTGCAGGAGTGTGGGTGCAGGGATGGGAACAGGTGTGCAGGGTGTGAGTGCAGGGATGGGAACAGGTGTGCGGGGTGTGGGTGCAGGTTTGAGAACAGATGTGCAGGGATGGAAACCGGTGTGCAGGAGTGTGGGTGCAGGTATGGGAACAGGAGTGCAGGGGTGTGGGGGTGTGGGTGCAGGTTTGAGAACAGGTGTGCAGGGGTGTGGGTACAGGTTTGGGAACAGGTGTGTAGGGGTGTGGGTGCAGGGATGGGAACAGGAGTGCAGGGGTGTGGGTGCAGGGATGGGAACAGGTGTGCAGAGGGTGCAAGTGTGGAGGCTGATAGACACACAAGCACACATGGGACTGCTTAACGCTGATGCTAGCCCTGCCTCAGGTGTGCACAGGAAGCACTGATGGATGTCTCAGGGGAGTGAGAGATGGGGTGCAATCTCAAAGGAGCCCCCGGGCTGGCCTTAGGCCTTAGAGATTGTGGGAGCAAAGGCTCAGGGCTGGCATGTCACGGTGGCTCCTGTGACAGGCTTGTTTTGCTGAGATGGACACCAGGCACCCAGTCCCATGGGAAGATTAACATGAGGGGCCTGACTGGCATCAAGGGACAGAAACCCAGAGGGCGGCAGAGGGCTGAGTGCCACACAGCACTTCCCTCCAGGGATATGGGCTCTGACAGGCTTTTGGCATTTGAAAGGTCATGGCCACAGAGACTGAGTTCTTGCTAATTAGCAAAGACACCTGCAAACGGCCCGCTTGGGGTCTCAGGCAGAGGTGCTGGCCTGTTTGGTCTAATTGGCCTGGGGAACTGGTAAGGCATGTTTTTCCCTCATGAGGCCGGTGGTCAGGCATTCAGGGTAAATGTCAGCCGAAGGCTTTGTGAGGGGCACTTAGCTGGCCTCTGCCTGCTCTCCCAAGTGCCTGTGCAGGTGCCCGGGGAGATGAGGCAGCCAGAGGGAGGCTGGACTTGGGGCTCACAAAGTCCCCCTGTGGTGCCCATGCTGATCGCTCCTCACCCAAAGTGGGGGTGCCTACCCAAAGCCGGCTGCTTAGGTGGCGATCTCGCCACAAGATCCTGTCTCTGGGTTGGGTTGAGAGCCTGGACTTGGGAGCCAGATGGCTTGGGTTCAAGCTTCAGCCGTAGGACCTAGGCAAGTACCCTAATGGCTCTGTGCCTCAGTTTACCCCTCTCTAAAATGGAAGTGATAGTCCTATTTGTGTCATGAGTGTTAGGAAGACTAAGGAGTGAGCACATGGAAGGAACGCTACATGTGTGACTCCGCACTGTGACTCCTGGGTTTTATCTTCAGTCTTGCAGAAGACACTTGGAAGATGACCTCTGTCACAGGATACAGAGAGCCGTAGCTTTGATTTCACATACCGAGGTTGAGTTTGTAGACTTTTCGTGGTTAGGTTGTGGGTCTTTGGTTTGTGCGTGTGTGGTTGGTTTGGGGCTTTCTTTGGTTTTGCCTTTGAAAGTAAGAAGTTCTTTCTTCCCGGTGACCTTGAAATCCAAGCTGGGATGTTAGGGGCATCTTGGGGTATTGGCCCTAGCCCCCCATGAACACGTGTTCGTATTTTCTACCAGACTCTGATACTTTATGCTTTATGAGGTCAAAGAGAAAAAGGGTGGCATGAAACCATGGCAACATCTGAGGACCTCCCTCTCCTGAGCTGAAGCTCTTAGCCTGTGTTGAGCTAGGGATGTGGGGAGACCACTTGGCATTTGGAAGCTATGGAGTGGCGGCTCATCCAGCTGCCGGGTTTGGAGCCACTTCTTACTGATGATGTGTCATTGGCAGATTGCTCACACTGTGCCGTCTTAAACACAGTGTTTTACACGCCTCCAGATACTCTGTATTCATTGAATGCATGGAAAATGCAGAGTGCATTGTGAGCCCAAGGAAACCAGGTATTGCATTATTGTTGGTTTGAGGACTGGCTGTGAAAAGGCCTTGGTCTAAGAAGGAGCTGGATGAGGCAGTGATTCTCTGTGTACTGGAGTTCACTGTTTAATGTGGGAATTAGCTGGATGTGTAGCGATTATCTAAACTGGAATTTGTCTTTTAGTTTGGGAATTACCTGGGAGGGCAAGGATTATCTGAGCTGGAGTTGCTCTTTCATTCTGGGCATTGCCTGGACTTGGGAGCCGTGTGTGCACGAGCCTCACCAGCCTTATTTCTGCAGACACCAGCTGCTTTCCCTGCTTCCTTCCTTGCAGATGATGGGAAGCTGTCCTTGGAGGAATTCCAGCTCTTCTTTGCAGATGGCGTCCTCAATGAGAAAGAACTCGAGGATCTCTTTCACACGATTGATTCTGACAACACCAAGTGAGCCTCAGTCCTGGTTGGCAGAGCAGGGGCATGTGTGGGTCACGGAGGAGGCATCTTTTCATCTAGTCTCCATCCACAGTCCCCGGCAAAGGGCAGGAGAACTGAAAATTCCCAGATGTGCTAATCCAAAAGTCAGCTCTTCACTGCCAGGGGTGACTAGGGCTTGTGCAGATTCATATCACATTGGCTACTGTCACAAGTGGGTCTCTTCTGAATGCACATGGCTAACTAGGGAGAGACTCCCAGCTTTGCACAGTAGACACGGGATTATGAAAACAGGGAGTTGGCAGTAACTTCATCCTTCTGCCAGCTTTAGCCAGCAGCCAGTTCTGACCCCAGCCCCAATGCCTATGCGTCCTCCTAGTCCCAACATTAACTGTGAGGTTGAAACCCACCCTAATACCATCTCCTGTGTTAAAACAAACTGGAACCAAGTACAAATCCTAACAACACGGCATCTACCATCGTAGCTTATTAAACCTTTCCTCCAGCCCAGTCATAATCCTAACCTGCGACTCAGAATCAGCCAAAAACTCTAGCTCCAACCCATGTCTAAGTCACGTGTGAAATGCACGTTCGACTCAGACTTACCCTTGATCCTTACCAACCTCAGCTCCAACCTTGCCCTTTTCTTGGGATCCCCCAGACAGGATGAGGTCTGAGCTCTCTTCTCACCCCAGTCTTCAGGAAAGTCAGAGCCCCACCCTGTCTCCTTTCTCAGACCTTCTTGGGTGGTGAGGACCAGAGTGTCTGGAAGGCTGCTTTGGGCACATTTGGTAAGTTGAGGTTCTCTGAGACTGGCTAGAGATGGTCTGGACAAGTAGCTCCCACCAAACCAGTGTGCAGGGGACAGAGTACAACGATGGCTTGGACCAGCGGTTGGGGCTGAAAGTGTCCTAGGGAGCACCAGCTGGGGACCAAGATGGGGTGAGTGGAGCAGGCACCGGCCTCTGGGAAAGGCCACTTTAAAGAAAGGACTTCAGTTTGCAGACCGCAGAATGGAGTGCTCTCCCTGGGGCCAGATGGAGATTTCTGAGCTGTTACTGCAGCTTCCTGGGGTGCTTTGAAGGGCCAGGCAGGTGCTCATTGATTTAGGCCTTTTCTTTCAGGGTCTTTTGTGTAAGGGCTAGCAGGGTAGAGGAGTGGGCGGAGGTGGAGGGGAAGGAGGTGCTCGTTAGAGTGCGTGTGGGTGGATGTGGGTGCAGGGAGGACTCGCCATCATGGAAGGTCAGAGCTCTAAAGACTTTCAGGATGGGCCGGGCACGGTGGCTCAAGCCTGTAATCCCAGCACTTTGGGAGGCCAAGGTGGGTGATCACGAGGTCAAGAGATCGAGACCATCCTGGTCAACATGGTGAAACCCCGTCTCTACTAAAAATACAAAAAATTAGCTGGGCATGGTGGCGCGTGCCTGTAATCCCAGCTACTCAGGAGGCTGAGGCAGGAGAATTGCCTGAACCCAGGAGGCGGAGGTTGCGGTGAGCCGAGATCACGCCATTGCACTCCAGCCTGGGTAACAGCAAAACTCCGTCTCAAAAAAAAAAAAAAGAGAGACTTGCAGGATGAATCTCCTCAACATTCCCTAAGATGCGAGCCCCGAACATCAGCTCCTTAGGTTGCTAAATAGATTTTGTGCCCAAAACAATGTACAAACAATGGGAAAGATTTGTGAAGCACTGAAGCAAAGTGACAGAGTCGCTTTCTGCAGGACTTGGCAGAACTCTCAATATGAGCTGGAAGTCGCAAGCACCTCCCAGCAGAGCACGCAAAGCCTGTGAGCACAGATCGACCGGGCCACGCAAGCCTTCTGTGCAGACGCACCTTGCTGAGTGCGGGCGCCACTGAGCGTGATGAGGGACCTCGGCCCAGGAAGGGCCAACCGTATGCTGGGTCCCGTGCTTATCCAGACCACCCCTAGCCAGTCCCAGAAGGCCCCCACTTAGCAAATCTCCCAAGCTACAGAAGCCCCCTGGTTTCCAGCACTGCATCCCAATCTTGTGGCTGGTGCATGCTCCTTCACTGCTGTGGGGGATAGATCCCAGCCCTCTCCCCCAAGAAAGGACAGGACCCTTCCCTAGGCTGCTGGAATGGGTGTGTGGGACCCAGGGGCTGGGACCAGAACAGGAAAGGCTCTGCCATAACCCCAAGGACTCCAGGACCCAGCAGGCAGGGTCTCTCAGGGCGTGGGGCAATGTGGCAGTGAGAGCTTTGACAGCCCATCACAGTAATGGGACCTCACCCTCCCTTCCTTTACCCCTTTCCTGGCCCCTGGCTTGGCCCTACCCTTGGCATCATTTATTCATGATGGGGTCAGTGGACTCAGAAAACAGAAGGGTGGGTGGTGTGGGGGGTAAGACAGACATGAGCCCTCTCGGCCTTCAGGGGCAGGGGTGTCACCTGCCTTCTGTGCCCTCATCTGTAAGGTGGGGCTTGTGGGGCCAGCACACAGGCTGCAAAGAGTGGGCAGGGTGTGTGTTTCGCAGGCTGTGCGGGGCCAGGCCTGCTGACCCCTCCTCCTGTCTCTGTCTCTCTCTGCAGCCACGTGGACACCAAGGAGCTATGTGGTAGGTGCCTGGCTATGCCAGGACCAGGATGGGGGTGCCGGGATGGGGCTGGGGAGAAGGGCCTGAGGTGGGGGAGGCTGGGGGTAGTGCAGGTGGGAGGGGCAGGATTTCCTATGACCCCTGACCTTTGCTTTCCCTTCCCCAGATTATTTCGTGGACCACATGGGTGACTATGAGGACGTCCTGGCCTCCCTGGAGACCTTGAATCACTCTGTCCTGAAGGCCATGGGCTACACCAAGAAGGTTAGCGGGTGCAGGTGACCCCGGGGGTCCAGGGCCCCAGGGCACCAGTGCTGCTTCTGTTCTCACAGGTGCCCACAGGTGCCTGGATTTTTGAAGAAGGGGACCAAGGAGGCCTGTGTCAGGGGTGGGCTTTGCCCAGGGCTCCTGCAAGCAGCTGAGATACACTGTCAAGGGAGTGGAATGGCTTGGTGCAATGGCTCTGATTGGGAGCAGGAGGCATTTTCCTAGAGTCAGGCCTGGTACAGGGCTGGGGTCCTAGAAAGGGTGGCTGCGGTCACCCTATGTCCTAAGGGGTCCCCAGACAGGTGCCATCCGTTCCAGGGCAGGCTTAGGAGACTGGAAGTGGGGTCCGGTGGGGTGTGTGCATCTAAACCTGGCCCTCTATCATGTTTTTGATGCTCAGCACCTGGTTTAACCCTCACAGCAACCCTATGGGTGGTTACCATCACCTCTCCCATCTCACAGCTGCGGAAACAGAGGCTCACAAAGGTGAACTCAACAGAGTCCCAGCCAGGCAGCCATAGCTCCTGGCTGGAATGAGAGGGGAAACTGAGACAGGGACCTGGCAAGAGGCATGTGAGTGTAGCACGAGAGTTCAGGCACACCCAGGAGGCGACTGGAGAGTCTGTCAGCCAGGAGCAGAGGGCAGCCTTTGGGCACAGCGATCCAGGCCCATGGGGAGGGACACATAGGTGCCCCAGGCTGCAGCCACCAGCACCCTGAGCTGGGGAGCCCAGAAAAGCCCAGCCCCATCTGCTAGTTGAGGCTGGGGAGTTTAGCTGATAAAGCCAGCTAGACCTGGCTGAAGGATTTCCTTTTCTGAGCCTCAGTTTCTCCATCTGTGAAATTGGAGACACTGCCTTACGAATTCTGAAGTGCTTCAGAGATTGAGCAAAGGCCTCTGAGCTATTGAGCACAGAGCAAAGGCACCAGCTGGTTGTATCAATAGGCTCCTGTGCTTATGCTCAGCCAGAAGTTAAAACCCTTTCATGTGGTTTTCCTATGCTTCTCAGTTACTGCTCACCATGTATTGGAGAGTTCCTGTCTTGCCATGTATCTAAAAATAGCTGGGCCTCTTTCTGAGCCTCCATGATTCCACACTTCCATCTCTGTCTTACTGTCATGCTGTTTTGAGCCTTGCTGTTTTAGTGTATATTTTAATACCATGTAAAACCTCCCTCCAATTATTAATCTTGTAGAATACTGTTTGATGTCTCAAAGTATCAAGGTGTAGGCAGTAGATTAGAAGGTGGCTTGGAAAGATCTCAGGCTTCCGAGTCACCCAGACAAGGGTGGCAGCCCTAGCTCTGCTCCACACGGGCTGTGTGAGGTCACTACGTGCTCACGGGTGACCCTGGGCAATGGCAGTCACCTCCTTGAGCCTGGGTTTTCTCACCTTAGAAGGGGGTCAGGTCCTAGCCATGCTGTGAGCATTAGTAGTATCCATGGTAACGTCTTGATCTTTGGTCAGACTTTTCAGGAACATAACAGAATTCTCCATCAGCATCTGCTGATACAAGTTAGACTAGTTTTAGAGATTTCGCTCTCGGAAATCATACGTGTACGATGTCGGGGTGGTCTGTGGGTTTCTTGGCAGTCATGATGATGGTAGGTTGTTGCATCTGTAATGGGCATTTCTTTTTTCTTTCTTTCTTTCCTTTTTTTTTGAGATGGAGTCTCACTCTGTCGCCGAGGCTGGAGTGCAGTGGTATCTCAGCTCACTGCAACCTCCACCTCCCAGGTTTAAGCAACTTTCCTGCCTCAGTCTCCCAAGTAGCTGAGACTACAGGCGCTCACCACCACACCCGGCTAATTTTGTATTTTTGGTAGACATGGGGTTTTACCATGTTGGCCAGGCTGGTCTCCAACTCCTGACCTCAGGTGACCTGCCAGCCTCGGCCTCCCAAAGTGCTGGGATGACAGGTGTGATGTGCTTGGCATTTGTTTTACTTGGGTATTTCCTGACTGATTTTCATCTGTAGACGTGCAGCTCATCGGTTGTTGCTTTGAATGCTTTTTTTGTATGTGCTGTTTGCTTTCGTCAAGCCGTAGCATTCATTGCGAAAGATCGCCGCCGTCTCTGCATTCTAACACGCGCCCCACTCAGTTCCCCGTCTCTCCTGAAACATCGTGGTGGGGCCCGGCCAGGCGTGCTTGTTGCGCTCCTGATTTTTGAGTGCGTCCCTAGTACTTCTCTGCTGATTATCGTATTAATACCAGCTCTTATTTTAGAATCCTCGTCAGCATGTTGGAGAAATATTTTTGCGTTCCTTTTGTTCCGTTTTGTCTTAGGAGGGTGGCAGCGAATTTTTTCAGATGCCTTTTGGGTATTTTTAAATGATGATAGGATTTTTTTCCCCCCTAAGCTATTGATGGGGTGGATGCTATTTTTAGATTTTCTTGTATCGAACAATGCGTAGCTCCCTGTGATCAACCCTAATTGGTACATTATTTTTTTTATCACATTAGTGAGTCCTTGTCACGAGCCAAGCATTTTGTCTCATCTCCGTTGGGAATGGAGATCGGGTGAGAGCTTGGGAATGATTCCGTGAGGTGGTTTTGCATGTTTTCTACGTATGAATCAGCTTCTCTAACACAGAATCATTTTTGTACATTTTGTCCAAGATAGAATTTATCCGTGACTCTTGGGTCTAGGTGTTAAACAGGGCAGGGGATTATTTTCATAGTTATTTTAAGGTCGGCCCTAGTGTTAGTCAACTTTTTCACTTGAGTCCATTGTATATTTTTAAACTGCCCTAGCCATGGTCAGTTTTACCATCAGTCATACATGGAATGTTCTAGTGATTATTCTTTAAAATCTAACACATTGACACAAGGAGGCAGTTACTGCAGATTAAGGTCGATAAAACACTGGCTGCTGGGCACCGGGGCTCATGCATGTAATTCTAGCACTTTGGGAGGTTGAAGTGGGAGGATCAGTTGAGCCCAGAAGTTCAAGACCAGCCTGGGCGACATAGTGGGACCCTGTTTTCACCAAACAGTAACAACAAAATTAGCCAAGCATGTGACTGTAGTTTCCACCTACTTGGGAGGCTGAGATGGGAGGATCTCTGGAGCCTAGGAAATCTAGGCTGCAGTGAGGCTCATGGTGCCACCGCACCTCCGCCTGGGTGACAAGAGAAACCCTGTCTCTCAAAAAAACAAAGATGAAAAGATAAAATTTGCTGCTACAACTCAGATCTTAAGTTTCTCCTGTGTTTCTGCATTTTAAAGCCTTCTATTTGACAGTTTTGCCTTTCTTAATTGGCTGTTTCTAATAACAAGCTCCTGGCACATTTATTTAAATTTCATGACATGTTTTTCTCATTTATTTATAGTTCCTATCATTATTATTTCCTCCCTCTTAAAACCTTAGGCTTGTTGTTTTTGCTATTCTTTTTCATATGTGAAATGGAATGCTTTTTTTTTTATATAGTGTTGGAAATTTTACTTTTAATGGGAACTGGGCATGGTGGTTCACACCTGTTATCTCAGCACTTTGGGAGGCTGAGGCAGGTGGATCACCGGAGGCCAGGAGGTGGAGACCAGTCTGGCCAATGTGGTGAAACCCCGTCTCTACTAAAAATACAAAAATTAGCCGGGCATGGTGTCAGGCGCCTGTACTCCCAGCTACTTGGGAGGCTGAGGCAGGAGAATCGCTTGAACCTGAGAGGCATAAGTTGCCGTGGGCCGAGATCACACCGCTGCACTCCAGCCTCAGCAACAGGAATGAATTTCCATCTCAAAAAAAAAAAAAAAATTACCTTTGATGTTCCCATAGCAATCATAGATGTTAATGTGTAGTATTTTCACCCTCTCTATTCTTTGAGCAGCCTTGTTATGTTTTCATTTATTTTTCAGTTAATTGTATTAAGATAAAACTGAATAACCAGAAAGATTTCTACTCTATTTGTGTAATGTATTGAGATTTTTGCATTAATTTGTGTTTGTTTTTGTAACTGTCTCATGAATGCTTGAGAAGATGTGGACTGTGCTTGCAGATTCAAATTACCAGATTTGAAAATAGCTATCCTTGCTTTGTTATGAAGTATGTGCTGCTAAGAGACAATTTTTTTAAAGGTAAAATTGTGTCTCTTCTGTAAGTATTAAAATATACACCTCATTGGCTGGGTGCAGTGGCTCATGGCTATAATCCTAGTACTTTTGGAGGCCAAGGTAGGTGGATCACCTGAGGTCAAGAGTTTGAGGCCAGCCTGGCTAACATGGTAAAACCCTGTTTCTACTAAAAATACAAAAAAATTAGCCAGGCATGGTGGCATGCACCTGTAATCCTTGCTACTTGGGAGGCTGAGACAAGAGAATCGCTTGAAACGGGAAGGTGGAGGTTGTAGTGAGCCGAGATCCTGCCATTGCACCCCAGCTAGGGCAATAAGAGCAAAACTCTGTCTCAAAAATAGTGATAAAATAAAATGTGCACATCAAAGATTTTCTTTAACTCAGTATGAGAATCAGTAAGATGTTGGAAGTGGCTCAAAGGACAATGCAGGGAACATGTGTACTAATATATAGGTAAACAGTGATTCTGAAATCAATTGGCGAATAAGCATAACTAGTCACTATGCCATGGCAACAGCCATTTGCCCTGTGGAGAGTGCCAGAGAAAATTCCTGTGCATTTCTGTGGAAGAGAGTTTTTTTTTTTAAGATAGGGTCTTTCTGTGTTGCCCAGGTTGGAGTACAGTGTGACACAGTCATCACTCACTGTAGCCTCAACCTCCCAGACCCAAGCCATCCTCCCACCTCAGCCTCCCAAGTAGCTGGGACCACTGGTGGAGGTCACCACTTCTCTTTTTTTATTTATTTATTTTATTTTTACAGAGACAGGGTATCCCTGTGTTGCCTAGACTGGTCTCAAACTCTTAGGCTCAAGCAATCCTCTCCCATCTGGGCCTCTCAAAGTGCTCGAATTACATGCATAAGCCATCATCCCCAGCCAGAGGAGAACTCCCTGAATTATTACAAATGGTCTATATCCACAGAGTTCTAAAAATTCCTCCAGGGAGAGTAGGAAGGGGATGAGAATTGACAAATTACCTGGTAGGTACAGTGTTCAGTATTTGGGTGATGGGTACACTACACTCTCAGTCCCCACCAGGATGTGATATAGCCATGTAACAAACAGGCACATGTACCCTCGGAATGTGAAATAAAAAAATAATAAAAAATAAAACCCAACTTTCTGTCCTCTGCTTCCCTCCTTTAACAAGTTCTCAAATCCATCTTTCAATTAAATCCATGTTGGAAAACAAAACAGAGTAGCTCCAAAATAAGGAAAGACTCAGATAAACTAGAAAAACAAAACCCAGGAGTCGTTCTTGTCCATTTCAAAGACTTTCACTATTCCTTCTAACAATGCCCTTTGTATCTGTGCTTATTATTATCTAATGTATCTGTCCTGTGGGACAGTGGTGAGCTAATCTCTCATACTAAATTGTGTTTTGTCATTGAATCTTTGTGTTTCTAATGGTTTCCTTTCTATATTTTTAGCCATGTTGCTTGATGCATATAGACTTCTGTTACAGTATTTTCATTATCTAAATGGTATGTAGTTGATATGCAAAATTTAGGAATTAGAGCTAAGCATAGAGAAAAATCGAATCACTTCTAATTCCCACTATCCCTAACTACTGGTAACATTTTTGTTTATTACTTGTAGCCAATTTCTCTTTCTTCTTTTTTTTTTTAAATAGCTTTTTTTTTTTTTTTTTTTTTTTTTTTTTGAATAGTCTCACTCTGTCGCCAGGCTGGAGTATGGTGGTGTGATCTCAGCTCATGCACCCTCCACCTCCTGGATTCAAGGGATTCCCTTGCCTCCGCTTCCCGAGTAGTTGGGATTACAGGCGTGGGCTACCACACCCAGCTAATTTTTGTATTTTCAGTAGAGACAAGGTTTCACCATGTTGGCCAGGATGGCCTCAATCTCTTGATCTTGTGATCTGCCCGCCTCAGCCTCCCAAAGTGCTGGGATTACAGGCTTGAGCCACCGCGCCTGGCCTCCTTTAATCTTTTTTCCATGTGTATTTCTTAAATTTATAATCTGTGTACACAAATTTATTTCCTGCTCTTTTACCTAATTTTTTAACGTTTTCCCTATGTTATTAAAACTTGAAAATCATCATTTAAAATATTTTAATTTACTTTTCCTCTTTTGTTAGGTCTATGAGATTATTTCTAAGTTTTTGCTATTATGAGTAATATGTACTTTATACTTTGTGGCAAATGTATTTATCCATATTTTGCACTATTTTGGGGAGATAATTTATCAGAATTGAGGAATTACTGGGTTAAAGAATCTGAGCAGTTTATGGCCCTTGACGTATAGCAAAATGGTTTGATCAGTTGGCTGTAGGCATCAAAGTCCCCACAGCTATATCCTCTCCCAGTGTTTGAAGATTTAATAATGGCATGTCCTTGTTACAACTTGAGGGCTTTTATCATTATATTCCTACCTTTCTTGGGTGTACTTTCTCATTTAAATTCTAACCTGATCATGATATTGCAACTTGTCCTGTTCATTCAATCACAGTTGGTTACCAAATCTTCGCACAGGCTTTTTTTTTTTTTTTTTTTTTGAGACGGCGTTTCGCTCTTGTTACCCAGGCTGTAGTGCAATGGCACGATCTCGGCTCACCGCAACCTCCGCCTCCTGAGCTCAGGCAATTCTGCCTCAGCCTCCTGAGTAGCTGGGATTACAGGCACGCGCCACCATGCCCAGCTAATTTTTTGTATTTTTAGTAGAGACGGGGCTTCACCATGTTGACCAGGATGGTCTCAATCTCTTGACCTTGCGATCCACCCGCCTCGGCCTCCCACAGTGCTGGGATTACAGATGTCAGCCACCACGCCTGGCGCGGCTTTTTTTTTTTTTTTTTTTAATAAGTCCTTTGTGCTACTTTGGTTTAGCTGTGCCTCTGGTGGACCTTGTCTAATCAGATCTGGGACTGTGTCTTTATATAAGGGAATTTGGGCTGCCTTTTTATTATTGTTTTATTGGATCTAACTGTTGCATTGTATTTTCTCTTTTTTTATGATTTCTTTTCATCTCTGTTACATTTTACCTTTTGGTGATCTGTTGATATCATGGATTATGATTTGGAATGTACAGTTCGTAGTATTCACTCTATTAGTTACTTTAAAAAACTACATCATTAACATTCTTAATTCTACTTTTATACTTAGCTAATAAAAAACACTTTCTCGCCAAGTGCGGTGGTTTATGCCTGTAATCCCAGCACTTTGGGAGGCTGAGGTGGGCGGATCACAAAGTCAAGAGTTCGAGACCAGCCTGGCCAACAGGGTGAAACCCCATCTCTACCAAAAATACAAAAATTAGCTGGGTGTGGTGGTGGGCACCTATAATCCCAGCTACTTGGGAGGCTGAGGCAGGAGAATCGCTTGAACCCAGCAGACAGAGTTTGCAGTGAGCCGAGACTGCGCCATTGTACTCCAGCCTGGGCGACAGAGCAAGACTCCGTCTCTTTATCTTCCCTTTGGGAATAAAAATAATTTTTATGACTTTAGGCTATTTTTTCTATACTTTATTGACTGAATCCAGTACAGTTGAAATTACATCATTAGTTAATTTCAACTATACTGGTTAATGCTTTGATTTCCTAACCTCTGTAACCTTAATGTTTAATTTGAGTGATCATTGTTACTGCTTTTCACAATTTCTCTATATGAAGAACTCTAATTCAAACCCAGATGACTTAGGACAACTTCTTAAGGTTTGTTTGCAGAAAAGGCGCTCATCTAGTAAAGTTTCAGAAATTTGCACATTCCTAGATATCTACCAGTTGCTCTGAGTAGAGTAACTTGTCCACTGGGTGTAAAATTTCTTTGTCTGAGCCTTTTCCTGTGGAGTCCATGGAGCTGGTCTCTTGTCTGAGGCAAGCTCAGTCTCCCCAGCATTGTGTAATATACCCATGTAACAAACAGGCACATGTACCTCCTCTTACCAAATCTGGGATTGTATCTTTACGTGGGGGAATGTAGGTTACTTTTCACTGGTGGTGGAGGAGAAATCAGGAAAACCTTCATTTTTTACTCCCTGAAAAATAACTTGTCTTCCTCGGAAGTCAGCTAACCACTAACATTTATCCCTGACCATGTCTTCGGTTGCTGGTCTGGGTGCTTTTAACACACTTCAACTCATTTTTCTGTTCGATCACGTCTAGCAGCCATTTTCTTTGTGTTTAAATATTTTACCAAGTTATGTCTTCATGTCCATTTTTGGCCATTCATGTGTCTAGAGTCTTTTGTTCACTGGATCTTGTGTGTTTCCAGCTGTCTGCTAGGAAGGGTACTCGGTCATTTATCAGGCTGCTGGAACCTGCCAGGCTGTAAGAACCTGATGTACTTTGGGCTGTGAACTCGTACTCTGTCGGAGTTTGTCCCCAGCAGGCCCTGGTCCGGCCATCGGCACGGGACGTCTGCCTCCGCCACACCTTAGCTGTCTTTCCATGTGCCCCTCCTCCTCCTCCTCCATTTCTGAGTCTCTCAGCCGTGTTTCCCATTGTGCAATTATTGCTAATTAATTCCCAGTCAGAGTGATGGATGGTTTAATTTGCTTTCCTTGAGGGCCCTGTTTTTCCTTGCCTTGCCAGGGACTGGGCAGAATTCCAAGATGCCTGGGGCAGGTGGCTCGGGAAGGCGGGGTCTTGGCAGAGGAGGCCGGGAGAGCAGCTCAGGGCTTGGGAGATCCAGGATTCTCCCAACACAGCATCATTTTCATTGTCTCGTCCTTGAGTGATGTGGATAAGCAGAGCCTTCTCCCTTCTGCTGTGAAGCCTTTTGCAGCCCAGAGCGTCTCCCCTGGATCCAAAAGCCTTGAAAAATGGCCTAGCAGAATCTCGGGACAGAAGTGGAAATTCTCTTCCACATGACAGAGCAAAACTTGGAGAAAACTCTTTTTCGTCTTTTCCCTAGAAACCCCCGATCGTGGCATCTGCAGAGATTCGCTCTCTGATTCCCCCGCAAGGCTTCTGTCTGGCCGCCGCCTCTCGATGACTAAGCCCTGGCCCTTTCCTCTCTTGAGCTGCTGTTGATTCTCTTCTCTCTTCTTCCTTGGTGGCAGCCTGGAGATCCAGGAGCCCTAAGAATCCTCCTCAGAGGAGGAAGGAGGGAGGAAAGGTGGTAGATTCTTGTTTCCTGATGATGATCCTTGGCACAGCAACAACAAAACCACCAGTGACCACTATCATCGCCGCCACCATCACAGTCTCTTTATTGTGGCACCTACTGTTTATTGAGACTTTGCTGTGTGACAGGCCCTGTGCTGAGCACTGGATACACATGATGCCCTTTAATCTTCACTGCAGCCATGTAAGATAGACACTACAGTGATCCCATTATACTCGGGGAGGTCACAGAGCTAGCGAGTGGTGAAACCACGGTTCAGATTTGGTCTCTAAACGTCTAGCCTCTGCGCTGGACACGCTACAGCCTCTGAGGTGCAGGAGGCCGTGGGGTCCTCCCTTCCCATTACAAAGCAAACATGTCAACACCAGCTTTCCCCCCGACTCCTGTGCTAGACCCAACCTCCAGTGTCCCTCCCCTTCCCCTCAGTGCCCCTTCCCTTCCGTCCACAGGTATATGAGGGCGGGAACAATGTGGACCAGTTTGTGACCCGCTTCCTCCTGAAGGAGACGGCCAATCAGATCCAGTCGCTGCTCAGCTCCGTGGAGAGTGCGGTGGAGGCCATCGAGGAACAGACCAGCCAGATCCGGTCAGTCGCTGAGCCCCTGCAGGGGCACGTGGGGGCATGCTGGCACGGGCACCTGCCCACCTGCTGCTTGGTGGGGGTGTCTGTCTACCTAAGAGCTGGGTGACCTTGGGCGAGTTGTGACAAGTCGCGCTGCCTTCAGTGCTCCCTTGTGTGATATGGGCACAATTAAGTACCTAAAACCTCAGCTGCAAGGATTGAATGAGACGGTAACTGCTCAGGAGAATGCGTGGTGTACGTATTTATTAGTACAGTGAAGACTGATTGGTTTCTGCCACATCCACATGCTGCTTACTGTTTATGCAGAACTATTATGTTGTTTGGCCCGTATCTTATTTTATGATTTATTTTCTTTTTTGGGGGGGACAGAGTCTCCCTCTGTCACCCGGGAGTGCAGTGGCATAATCTTGGCTCACTACAACCTCTCCCTCCCTGGTTTCAAGTAATTCTCATGCCTCAGCCTCCTGAGTAGTTGTGATTGCAGGTGTACAGCGCCACACCTGGCTGGTTTTTGTATTTTTAGTAGAGACAGGGTTTTGCCTTGTTGGCCATGCTGGTCTCGAACTCCTGGTCTCACGTGATCCACCTGCCTCAGCCTCCCAAAATGCTAGGATTACAGGCGTGACCCACTGTGCCTGGCCTATTTTATTTTTCAACACAGGATCTCACTGTGTCACCCAGGCTGGAGTGCGGTGGCACCGTTGGGGCTCACTGCAACCTCCAACTCGGGCTCAAGCAGTTCTCCCACCTCAGCCTCCCAGGGAGCTGGGACTACAGGCACGTAGTCCCACCAGACCCAGCTATTGTTGTAAAAGTTTTTGTAGAGATGGCGTTTCGCTATGTTGGCCTGGCTGTTCTCAAACTCCTGGCCATAGCAATTCTGCCGCCTCAGCCTCCCAAAGGGCTAGGATTACAGGCATGAGCCACTGCACCCCAGCCCACTGCTGAAAATGAGAAATCACTGTGGGAAATGGCACATGTTAAAGTAACTGCACACTGAGTATAACGTGCCGCAAGTGAAGTCACTGTAAAAATAAGCACCTGTCATTTCCTGCAGTCCAGCTTGAATCCTGAGGCTTGCTGCTCCTCTGCTAAAATGAGAGACCAAGAAATGGCAGAGAGGTGTTGAAGACAGTAGAAGCAAGTTAGGACTTTGTTGGGAGGACTGAAAGAGACGTGAAAGTGCAGTATGTGGTCTTGTGTTCGCGTGCTTGGAACCATGGGAACGCCTCTGGGGTGGGGTCTCCTCTTAGAGGGTGGATGCTGTGTTAGGGCTGGGACCTGGTGTTTAGAGAGGAGCGGTGTTCTCCTGGCTGAGCAGCCCCAGCCCCCTGGGGACCACAACCATTCCTACCCCCATTTGCTATCCCGAGTTGAGATAAACCCCTCTTTGCCTAGTTCTTCCCAGAACAGCTGATGTGCTTGGCACAGAGAATAAAAAGAGAAAATGCAAACGGATGTGGGCACAGCCAGGTGTCGGCACCCAAGCTCAATTGAGCCTTGAATATTCCAGGCAGAGAGGCACATGAGGACTAGGATGTTGGTTTGTTGGGGGGGTGGGCACAGGTTTGATTGTTTCTTTGTGGGTGAAGAGTTGGTCCCAATCAGATTGTGAAGGGCACTCTGAGACACCGTTTCCAGAACGAGCTGGCTCTGAGCACTTGGTGCTGAGTCACCTGGGAAAAGTGAAGGGCAGATTCCCGGACTCCTGGCCACACGCACTGCTTAGAATCCCTGGGGCTGGAGCACAGAACTCGGCATCTGTGATCCGTCTTGTGCTTCCTGGGTTCCCTAGAGTTAGCAGCCATCACTCTGAAAGCTGAGACTTAGATTTCCTTGGTTTTCTGTTAGTGTCTTGATGAGAAACTTGCCGTTTTTATCCTGCCGCAGATCAGACAGAATTGCTGCACGGTGTTCAGAGCTGACTTCCCGCACCGGGCCAGCTCCATCACGTGTCAGCAGTTCCACCCACTGCCCGCCCTGGTGGGACCTTACGTGGGGATGTTGCTGGAGGAGGTGGCATGTCATTGTCGGGGGACACCTCTGCTCCACACATGCTCCTCCCTCGAACCTCCCTAAATCTCAGCTAGTTTGGTTCTAGGCCCTGGGTCCCTGAGGAGTATCCTGTCTCAGCCCTGGGACAGTCTCTCAGGATGTCGCCTCCAGCACAGGCTGCTGGCTCAGACTCCACTGCCCAGGAGCCCTGAGCAACCCGTCATGGTCTGAGGGACACATTTAATTTCCTGCTGATTTATAGAGAGGCCATGATTGACACCACAAAGGCTCTGCCGGTCTCTCGCCTCCCAAGGCGGAAGTCCAGTCTGCTCCCTCGGCATGGGGAGAGCCAGGCTGAGTGTTCAAGGTTCACAGGAGACAAATTCCACAATGCACCAAGACCATGGTCCAGAGACCGAGGGGGTGTGGGGGCTGTGCACAGGGCTCCGTGTGTGTCTTGTGTGTGTGTGTGTGTGTGGTGGTGGTGGTGGTGGGGGGGTGTCTGTTTCCATACGTCTGCAGGGAGCTTTCCAGCATCCTTTTGCACGGGAGGATGTGGTCATTCCCTGGGCATTGTTTGAGTCTCTATTATGTGCTGGGCACAGTCCCTCCTGTGTGCTGGGCACAGTGCAAGGTGAGCAGTGTGTGTGTCTGTGTGTCTGCCTCTGGCTAGCTGTGCCTGTCGGCACGCAGATCAGCATGCTCAGGAGTAGGGGGGACCAGGGCCAGGAGATGGGGCCAGGCTCAGGTCAGGAGAGCAGTTGCTGTGCGGTTACATCCCCCACTGTCAGTGTCTCTTTAGGCCTCACTTTTATGTGTGTGTGTTGGAGGAGGGTCTTGAAAGCAGGTGCCCCACCCTAGAGGGCTCCCAACACCAAACTGGCTTCTCATGAGTTGGTGGCGGGGGGACTTGTTTCCTCCACAGCGTGGGGTCTACAGGTGCCTGGAAGCTGTGAGCTGTTGGGGTTGGAGTGGGCGCCTGGCTCGGCCTCTCCCTGGAACTGAAGCTCCTGGGAAAAAGGCCTGGGCGGTGGGGTCCCTGAATGGAGCTGAATTCAAGTCCCAGCCCTGCCCCAGCTGGGTGTGTGGCCCTGGCTGAGTCGCCTGCTGTAGGAACCTCATTTCCTCCTCTGACAAAACAAAGACCATGGGGCAAGCTCTGTGCATGGGTGAGCTCACTGTTGGTGCTTAATAAACGTTTGCTGAAGCTGCTAGAAGTGGTCAGGGTCTGTGTGTTCTCCCATTCAAACTGCAGACAGAACCACAGCAAACCCAGCCACGGTGTGGCGCAGACCTGGTGTGGAAGCCCCACTCCCCGCTCTGCCCCCAGCCACAAGCTCATGGCCACGGAACAAGGCAAGAGTCTTCCATCTGGTGAGAGAAAGCAGAGACCCTGCTGGGGGTACCGGCCGGGGGTTCTGAGAGTCCTTTGACGGGGACTGGGGAGATGAGGGGCAAGTTTGAGGCCCCTGGAGGGGCTGGGTGTTTCTGGCTTCCCCCCGAAGCCCTCGCCTTGCCCACCACCGCAGTCTGTGTCTCTTTCTCTTCCTCAGCCCCTGAGGATGCAAAGGAAGAGGGCCTGGAAGCCCAGATCAGCCGCTTGGCAGAGCTGATTGGGAGGCTGGAGAGCAAGGTAAGCCCTGGCCAGACCCCAGCCTCTGTTCCTCACAACCCCCAAGGGGGTGCGGAGTTAGGCCTGGGCAGAAGTCTGGGCTGCAGAGGGGCCAGGGAGCAATGGAGATGCGGAGGACAAAGTGACGACGGATCAAACCCCAGGGAATGCAGCTGTTGTTCAGGCAGAAGGAGGGCAGGCACCTGGGGAGAGGGGGTGTTGGGGGCTGGGCAGGCTGGTCGGCAAGCAGCAGGAGCAGCTCCAGGGGCAGAGCGTGGTCAGCAGGGTCGGGTCCCCGGCTGCAAGGCCCTAGCTTCAAAGGAGACTTGGCTCTAAGGTGGCCGGCGCAGGTGTTGGCCAAGAGGCAGCCCTGGGACGAAAGGGAGAGATTCGAACCAAGGAAGGAAGTGGCCAGCAGGAGCAAACTTGTTGTTGTTGTTGTTGTTTTTGTTTTGTTTTGTTTTTGAGATGGAGTCTCACTCTGTCACCCAGGCTGGAGTGCGGTGGCTGCGATTTGGGCTCACTGCAAACCCCACCTGCCAGGTTCAAGCGATTCTCCTGCCTCAGCCTCCCGAGTACCTGGGACTATAGGTGCATGCCACCCTGCCCAGCTAATTTTTTGTATTTCTAGTAGAGATGGGGTTTCACTGTGTTAGCCAGGATGGTCTCCATCTCCTGACCTTGTGATCCCCTTGCCCCGGCCTCCCAAAGTGCTGGGATGACAGGTGTGAGCCACCATGCCCGGCAGAAGCAAATGTATGAAGTGTGAAATGGGACATCCGCAGATGTTAGAAAATAACACAGCTCTTAGAGCATTTTCAGAGAGTGTTTCATGACTCGGGGCAGAGGGCTCACAATATGTCCACTGGGTGGAAAGAAAAGTTTGTGTTAGGGTCTGCAGACAGATGAGCTCAGTATCGGTCAGAATTCTGGTTGTGCCACTTCATAGCTGTGTGGCCTTGGACCAGGGTCTTGTCTTCTCTGAGGCTCAGATTCTTCATCTGATGATGAAGAAAATAACCTGGAACACGGGACCCCTCCCTCACAGGGGTGTCGACAGGGTGAACCAAAATGATATCTCAGTGGTTTAGTACAGAGCCCAGTGCCATAGTTTGCATTTAATAGTAGCAATGGCAGCAGTGATTAGGAGGCATTTTGTTAACAAAACCTATCCACGTGCACACACCACACCCATATCCCCGTAGGAACCAAGGTCACCGAGCTCTCAGAAGCCTGGAATTGAGGTGCTTTATGTTTCTCCTACTTCTTCGTATTTTTAAAACACCCTTTGCAAAGGGTATTGCTGCTTTTAGTTGGGGGTTCGTTCTGAGGAATTCATGGGGGCAGGAACAAGGGGCTGTGCACAGGGACGGAGGCAGAGGCTGACCTGCAGCAAAGTCCGAGGGAGGAAGTTTGAACTTCCCCCCTGCAGGGATGAGGCCAAGGTGGGGTTACCCCTTTCTCTAAGCCGACTGCGGAACGGCTAGGAGGGGACCCCGTGGCCCGGTTGTCATAACAACTCTGCGGGCGCCTCGGCAGGGAGACTCTTTGAAGCTTATTTTTAGTGCCCTGGTCGTCCTAACAACCAGGCAGGCTGGTAACCACGGAGTACCTGGGCGTCCTGGAGACAGGGTGGTACCAGGCCCTCTTCCCCAGCCTCTGATTGGCCCGGGCCGTGAGCAGGGGCCAATCGGCGCCTGGTTTCAGGCCCCGCCCTTCACCTGCCAACCTGAGATGCCTCTCAGCTAGAAGGATGGAGGTCCTAGGGGCAGCTGGCTGGGAGCAGAACGGGGCAGAGACGTGGGCCGTATTGCCTTTCCTCATCCTCCTGTGGCTTTTCTAGCCTCAGCTGTAGGAGCCCCCATGTACGCTTTATTTTTATTTTTATTTATTTATTTATTTATTTATTTTTTCAAGACAGGGTTTCACCATGTTGGTCAGGCTGGTCTTGAACTCCCGACCTCAGGTGATCCGCCCGCCTTGGCCTCCAAAGTGCTTGGATTACAGGCATGAGCCACCACGTATGCTTTAAACCCATGGAAACGGCCTTGTTCCTGGCATGCACACCTTCACTCACGAAAGAGTGTTCGAGCTATGTGCTCCCGAGAAGGCAATACCCTTTCCAGGATCAGCTACTACAGGGCCCAGTGGAAACTGAGCACACAAGGCCCCTCGCTCAGATGTTTAGAACGTCACGGTGGTGACTGCACAGACTCACCCACATGCTGCTGTTTTTCTTATTAGCCAGTGTGCCTCACCTGTGCCCTGTGCGACTCCTAGAGACCGTCTGTCCTCCTGGAGGATGGACACACGTGGGCTTGGTGGTGGTGGGTAGTGGGGTGCCCAGGGTTTTGTTTGTTTGTTTTTTGGGTTTTTTTTTTTTTTTTTTTTTTTTTTTTTTTTTTTTTTTTTTTTTTGGAGACAGAGTCTTACTCTTGTTGCCCAGGCTGTAGTGCAGTGGTGCAGTCTCGGCTCACTGCAACCTCTGCCTTCCAGGTTCAAGAGACTGTCCTGCCTCAGCCTCCGGAGTAGCTGAGATGACAGGTATGTGCCACCATGCCTGGCTAATTTTTGTATTTTTAGTAGAGACAGGGTTTTGCCATGTTGGCTAGGCTGGTCTCGAACTCCTAACCTCAGGTGATCCACCTGCCTCGGCCCCCTAAAGTGCTGGAATCACAGGTGTGCGCCCCCACACCTGGCCAATGGGGTGCCCTAGTTAAAAGAAGCGGCAGCATGATCCTCTGTGTCAGGTAGAAAAACTGGGTTCAGACCCACGCTCTCTTGCCTTCAGAGCTAGGGTTCTCTGCTGTGACATAGTGACTGATCATCTGGGAGGGCTCAGCCCTGTGTAGATACCAGGCGCCGGTGAGCAGAGCGGATGTGGTTCCTGGAGACTGGAGCTCACAGTGGGGCAGCACCTGCCCCGGGGAGTCTGGAAGATTGAATGTGTATTTGTAAAGCACCTAGGTCAGATACCAGAGAAGGCCAGAGAGAACCGGTCACCCCATTAGATCCCTGAGGTGCTGGGGGTTAGGATTTGGGGTGAGTTCTAAGTTACAGGGAGTCTAAGTGCTGCTGCTCATGATGGTAGAAAACCCCAGCATCTCGGACTTGGGCCTCTGCGGTCCCCATTGCTTCCTCTCCCAAGCCATCCTCACCCCAGCAATGTGTTCAGAACCCCCTTTGTGCCCTCTGCAGGGGGTCACCTGTGCCTCCCAACGGTCCCAGATGCCAGGGCCAGAGGGAGTCTCTGCCACTACCTAGGGTTGGTCTCCCAGCCCTGCATAACAGGGCCAGGCCCCTGGCAGCTCCCTGCAGCCCCAGGGATCCCAGAGCTCCCTACACCTGGGGTGGAGGGCGTCCCTGGCTGCGGCCTGACTGTGAGCTGCCCCGTTTCAGGCACTGTGGTTTGACCTGCAGCAGCGCCTCTCAGACGAAGACGGAACCAACATGGTGAGGCCCCTTCCCCTGCCTCTCCTGGGACCACGTCCCTGTGCGAGTCAGGATTGCCGGGACCCATGGGGCTCGATGCCCCGGCCCCTGTCCCTGCCTGGGACCACTGTCAGGGGAGATGTAGCCCTAGCACTTGGCCCCCAGACCCTGCCCTGGCCCGAAGCCACCCCCAACTCCAGGGGTGTTCCTTGAGGTCCATGGACTTTGATCCAAAAAACGTTTGGTCTAGAGCAAAGTGGCCAGCAGGCCAGTGATGTCAAAATGCTGAGTCTGTCAACTCCGAATTCTTCTGGTCCGTGGATGTGCTGTGCATCCGGGGCCTGGAGGCCTGGCAGCAGCTGTGGCCATGGCTGGGGCCTCTCTAATCACCGCTGTCTGTTTTCCCCATTTGAGGGGGCTACCTCTGAGCCGGGCTCCTGGCTTCTCATCCTTTCGTAGCCTATTTTTAGTCCATTTGTATGCTAAGAATGAAAAGTGTGGGTCGGTCATTTTTTGAATGAGGAAGGGAGGTCACGGGGGCTGGATGGGTCTTCAGGGAGGAGCCCTGCCAGGGAGCCCCACACTGACTCCTGTTGTGGCCGGCGGCACCTGCAGCTGGTCCGGCAGGAGATGGCCGTGTGCCCCGAGCAACTGAGCGAGTTCCTGGATTCCCTGCGCCAGTATCTGCGGGACACCGCGGGAGAGAGGAGCTGCTTCCAGTGAGTGAGCCGCCGAGGCGTGGTGGGATGGTGGCAGGGAACTCTGCCTGGCAGTGGAGGGACGGGGCGGGACCAGCCTTACACAGATCGCACCCCAGGAACACGCATAGCTGGGTGCATAAGAGCTGGGTTCAGGTCTTTACTCAGGTTCCTCCCAGCCACGCAAACGTGGCAGGCGCCTTCATCTCTCCAGCCTCAGCTTATGAATCTGTAAAGGGTTGCCACCCCCCCCAGACTCCTTGCTGGGTTATCACGGGTGGAGATAATCAAGCGTGAACGGCTCCAGCCGTGTCTGGTGTGCCGCGTGCACTCAGCTTTAGCTGTTGCTCACTGTGTCTCAAGCGTCGCTGTACACTTTTCACCAGGTGCTAAATGTAGTATGTGCTCAGTTACCAAGGAAGGAGAGTAGGTGAGGCTGGAGGGGAATGCCCAAGAAATAGAGCCGCCATTTTCTCCCTCCTCCCCACTAGTCAGGGCTGAGAAATCCAGGGTCGAGGAAGGGGCCTGACCCTCAAATTCCCGTTCATCCCCCGGGGTTGATGTAGCTCCTTGGTAAAGCTAAGCCATGTGACATGGCCAGAGTGGAGGGCTCTGCAGCAAACAGCCCTTTGTTCTGGAGGGTAGGGGTCCCCAAAGAGCATGAGGCCAGGCTCTGCCTCGCTCCACCCCAGGACTGGTTCATTCACCCTTTTGGGGGCACGGCTCTGAACCAGGCAGGCCAGGTCCGCACAGGGTCTTGGGGAGGGGTCTTCCTGGGCCGCAGGTGCACTGAGGCCTCCCTAAGTGGCGGTAGCCGGCAGGAGTGCGGCTACTGCAGAGCCCCGGGGTGGCCACCAGGGGCCGTACTTGAGTAAGTAGCCGGGCTGGGGCGGAGGACCTGGGCTTTCCTCCAATAGGTGAAGTGTGGGGCCAGGGCAAGGCAGGGCCACCTGGATGGGCGGTGGAGAGGAGGTAGGGAGGACGGAGAGACTCCGCGGCTTCAGAGCCTCCGTAGGGGACAGTGCCGTTTGGTGAGTTGGAGAAGGCAAGTCTGGAGTGGCAGAGGCAGGCACCGGGCACCTAAAGCCGCCGGGCGTGTGCTGGCCGCAGAAGGGATTCCAGCCTGGCACCCTCCCTCCACCCCCCTGCTCTTGGCTCCCCCTTTATAGTCACTTGGGCCTTGTACAGAGGAGCCGGGAGTGGGAGGCAGGATCTGGGGGTTTATACTAAGGGGAGTGCTGTACCCGGGGTTTTGCAGGTGGGAGTAAGGATGGGCCTGCTGCAGCTTCGTCCAGGGCAGGTACAGCGTCCTGGAGTTGTTTCCAGGATTTAATGAGAGGAGGATCAGGAGGAAGATGCTTTGACTTTTAAAGATAGGGCTTTATTTATTTATTTTGTGACAGTCTTGCTCTGGCACCCAGTGTGGAGGGCGATGATGCAATCTGTCTCCCGAGTACAAGCAATTCTCCCGCCTCAACCTCTGGTGGAGCTGGGATTACCGGCATGCATGTCTGGGTAATTTTTTTTAGAGACAGGATTGTACCACATGGGTGAGGCTTGTCTTGAACTGGCCTCAAGTGATCCACCTGCCTTGACCCCCAAAGTGCTGGGATTACTGGTGTGAGCCATCACCTGGGGCTAACCGGTTTTGTTTAAATAAATATGAAGCCTTTTAAAATAACATTTCAGCTGGCATAATGGCTTAAGTTTGCAATCCTAGCGCTTGGGGAAGTCAAGGTGTGTGGATTGTCTGAGTCTAAGAGTTCGAGATCAGCCTGGGGCCCACAGACTCCATCTTTATGCAGACATTTTTTTGAATTTGCCAGGCCTAGAGTCCCAGCTACTTCTTGAGGCTGAAGTGGGTCGTGATCATGCCACCACGCTCCAGCTTGGGCAACAAGAAAAACTGAAGTCCCTTTTTTCTGAACCTGGAAGCTCCTGCTGGTGACCCCAACCCCCCGAGTCTTAGGGTATCTCAGAGCTGGGCTCTAGGGTCACCAGTCAAGGCGCAACAGAGGGCAAGACGGGGAGGAAGAAAGGTTGAAGGCAGCCATTGTGTCCGGGGTCCTCAGGGCCCTGCAAGGGAGCAGGGTGGGAGAGGGAGCCCTTAAGTACGGGCTTTCCCCCTGTCTCCTATTGCAGCATCGCTGCCGTGAGGCTCTCAGACGGCTTCACCTTTGTTGTCTATGAGTTCTGGGAGACGGAGGAAGAGTGGAAGAGGTGAGTGTGGCAGGTGATGGGGAAGCTCGGGTGGGGGATGGCCGGCTACCAGGGCCCCTCTCCTGGAGCCAAGTGGCCTAGCCCAGCACACAGTCCGGAGGCATCTCCCACTGCACATGCAGGTCTCAGTTAACTCCCGTGCAGGGGAGTCCTGGGGGATAGTGAGGACTCCCGTACACCCAGTTGGGCTCTTTCAATGCAGGTGCCCAGGCAGCCCTGCTGAGGATCTACCCCGACAGCTGCTGCCTTGGGGTGCTAAGAAAACTGCTGGGCTAAGGGTTGAAATCCCATTCCCGGCCCCATCCAGGTCAGGCACCCACCTGATTCCCCCAGAGTTTCCTCCATGCCCATCCCTGGGGCTGCCTTATTTCATACCATGTGGAGTAGAGCGCCAGACACACAAGGTAATTCAGTCCCCAGGTGATCAGTAGTACCAGCGACGAACCTCCCCTCCAGCTGAGTGGGTGGGGGAAGTCATCAGCTCTGTTGGGTTTTAGGGTCTTGTGGGCTGCTCAGAGCATATCTAGGGCCGCTTGTTCCCCACCTGGGGTAGAGACTGTTTCTCACGTGCCAGACATCACAGGTAGGAGTAGGGACCAGGGGGAATATCATGCCTCTATCACCTGCTTCCCCAGTAAACATCCAGGTGTGCTGACAAATTGAGGACCCCGGGGAGAGCAGGGGCATCTCATCCCTGTCTGTACTTCAGGGACTCAAGGGCAGCTTTCATGTTGTCATCTGTCCTGGGTAGAGGATAGCCCCACTTCTCCTGCTAGGGTAAAGTCGGAGTTGGAGACTCCGTGCACCTAGAAGAGAGGGGTACCTGCAGCACCTGCCAGGCTCACGGGGCAAGAAAAGCTCCCTGCCTACCCCAGAGATACCCCCACTCAGCCGCCCTGGGCACCCCCTCACCTTCTCACAAACGCTCTGAGTCTAAAGATTCCCCCCACGCTGATGGATAAGGTCCCCCTCCTGGGCACAGCGAGCATGAACAGGGGCTCAACTCCCAGCCCCGCCTTGACTAACACATGTTCCCGGGTGGCAGGCACCTGCAGAGCCCCGTGTGCAAGGCATTCCGGCACGTCAAGGTGGACACGCTGAGCCAGCCCGAGGCCCTCTCCAGGATCTCAGTGCCAGGTAGGAGGCGAAGGTCTAGAACCAGTGGCCACCTGCATAGAGAGAACAGGGAACAGCACCAGATGCTGCCCCTGCAGGCCAGAGCCTTCCCTGCTTGCTGCTGGGAGGAACTGTGGCCCAATGCTAGGTGTGCAGAGAGGGTCCTGCGGGACAGTAGAGTGACCAGGTCACAGCCAGCTCTGAGGCGGCCCCAGCCTGCAGCAGGGGTGGATGCCAGAGCTTGCACTGGAACACCCCGCCCTCCACGTCTAGCCAGACTGAATGTTCCTTCCCAGGAGTGTGGTTCACACCCGGGTGACCAGTGAGCACCCATGTATCACACAACGGCCTAAAGCCTCCCACTATGGACGGCCAGGGCTCTGAGTTGCCAGCCGTATGAAGGGCTTTTCTGCTTGCAGCTGCCAGGGAAGCAGATGTTTCCCAGGGCGCTGGTGAGGGGAGATCTACCACCACATGCCCTTCCAGATGCCCACCACCCGCTAGGAGGCTGCCCCATGCTCAGTGCTCTATCTACTGTCTGTCTCTCCTTCTAGCTGCCTGGTGCACACTGGGACGGGACTGACCGCCTCCCAGAGGCCCCTTCTTCTTGTAAAGGACATCCCCTGTTTTCTAGAAACTTTGGTGCAGAAGTTGTCTTTCCAATGTATCCTCCACAAAAAGGTGTTTCCCTGCTGCGAAGGGAAGGAGGCCTCCCCTGCCCCCCGCCTGAGCTGGCAGAGCAGTATCTGTGTTGCCAGGGTCTTGCCGCAGCGAAAGGTGGTGACGGGGGCGGCTTCCCGGAGCCAGCATCCCACCTCCTGATCTCCCCCACCCCTCAAACAGCCACGCATGACCCATGCTCACCACACCCTGCCTCCGGCCTTCCTCATGTTCTCGTGGTCGGGACTCAGTGCTGCTCTCTTCAGTGCCATTCTTCTAGCCAGTAGGAGCCACGACCCTGTCGTAGCCAACCTAGCCAGGCAGGTACCAAATAAACCCTGGCTGGGAAGGGCGGTGTACTGTGTCTGTTTCCTGGCTGACTGTGGTTGGGGGGGGTGGGGCCATGGGAAACCTTCAGCAAGTACCCACAGCCTTGGGGACACTTTAACCAATAGGCTAATGCCTATTCTGTAGCTCCCAGGGCACCACAACCACCCTCAGGTTCATAAGTCAAAGGACTGGGCACAGCTGTCACAGTCAGGGTGTATGACAGACACAAACCAGCATGGAAGGGGCTGCACTGAAGCCTCCCAGCTTCAACACGGACAGAAGATCACCAACCAGGAATGTGTCCCTCATCTTAACTGGGCTGTGGTGACGCAGCCAGGGCTGACACCCACAGAGCTAACACCTCCTAGCTCAAGGCCCCACCATAAATCACATAGTTGGCACAGACCACACAGTATGGCCCCACAAAGACACTGTCACCAGGCGCAACACTCTGAGGGCCTGTGACTCCTTCCCTGCACACATTAGCAATTCAACGAAGCAGGAGCCCATGACTCTCAACTGGAAATAATGTCTTAAGTCTTATTCTGGAAGCTCTGTAACTTCTATTTGTCGGGCCCGGTTAGCAGGAAAGAAGTCTCACAGGGCCGGGTGCAGTGGCTCATGCCTGTAATCCCAGCACTTTGGTAGACCGAGGTGGGTGGATCACTTCGGGCCAAGAGAGAGAAACCTCGTTTTTACTAAATATAAAAATAAGCCAGGTATGGTGGCAGGTGCTTGTAGTCCCAGCCACGCAGGAGGCTGAGGCAGAAGAATTGCTTGAACCTGCGAGGCGGAGGCTGCAGTGACCCAAGATCACGCTACTTCACCCTCGGCAACAGAGCAAGAGTGTCTCAGAAAAGTCACTCACGAAAGTTCAAAGGGCAAGTAGAGAGTGGTGGGTCTCCTAAGACCAGGCAGAGCCGAGAACATCGCAAGCCAGGGACACAGGTGTGCGCGGCGGGGTGCAGGACCCAGAAGGGGTACCTTTCTACCTCCTGCCCCAAGCCTGGAGGAGCACAGAAGGCTGGCCAGTGACACATGATTATGAACACTGTCAACCGCCCCTCGAAGTCCCTGACACACTGTCCGGCCGGCCGGAGGTTGCCTGGAGCCCTGAAATCCCTGCTCCCATGGTGGATCCCTCCCTCTTGGGTCCTGCCATCCCCTTGCAGCTGGACACTGGAAACCAGCAAAACACAACGCAGGCTTGTAGGAAGCGAAAAAAGGGTTTCAGCAACCACCTACACATCTCCAAGCTGAACGTCCCTGTAGCAGCTCTCAAGGCCTCTGTTTTTCTCATCTGTAACATGCCAAGAACCCCCCCTTCCCCCCTCCCCCCACCCCGACCAAGGATCAAGGGCTTCACTGCCTGGCACATGAGAACAGCACAGACAGGAACCCTGCTGCCCCGCCCACTACAACGCTCAACTATTTGAAGAGTAACCCTCCGTAGATTGGGGCATCGCTGCTGATTACACTGAGTGTGTACTTAACACCTTCAGGACCCCCTCAGAACCTTAGTGGGCAGCAAGGGGCTCTGACAAGAACACGTTTCAACCCTGCAAGCCCTAAGAGCTCCCACTTAATTCACACTTCAGAGCCTGGCACAGTCAAGCACTTGGCAGGCACCATCTCCCTCCATGCTCTTGGCAGGTGTGGACACAGAGAGGGCAAGTAACTCACCAGAGATCACACAGCAAGTAAGCAGCTCAAGTCAAATCCAAACCCACGATCCTGTGCCCAACCGCCCCTACCACATAGCATCAACCCACAAGAACAGCTTCGGATTAACCCAGTAAGATGACCATCGGGTTTCTCCAATCGCCAGGGTAGAATTACCATATCCCAGCAATTCCACTTCTAGGGATATGCTGTACCCAAAAGAATGGAAGAAGGCATCCAAAGCACTCAGCCCATGAACTAACAGCACCATTCACAACAGCCAAAAGGTAGAAATGATCCACATGCTTATCTGCCGATGAATACATCAACAAATGCCCTCTCTCCAGACAACAGCTTATTCGGTCATCCACAGGCGTGAAGGGCTGAGCCACATTGCAGCCTCGGTGACTCAAACACCATGCTGAGGGAAGGCGGGCGGTCGGGACAGTGTGTCCTGTTCCACTTACATGAAGCGTCCAGAACATGCAAGCCCATGCAGACGGAAAGCACAAGGTGGCTGCCTCTGTGGGATCGGGGAGAGGGAAACGGTAAGGCAGGGCTCACAGGGGGCTCTCCTCAGGATGGAATGTTCTAGGATTAGATGGAAGTGATAGAGACACAGCATTGTGAATGTACTAAAGGCCATCGAATGCTACCCCTTAAGAATCTAATTACTCTCAAAACCAGTTCACCACCTGCCATTTAGGCGGTACAGCTGCATACTCACTGGGCCCAGTTCAAAGCTGCCGCTGTCCCTGGAAGACATCTGCAGCTGGGTACCTCCTCCTGAGGCACTTGGGGCCAGCAGTTCCCTGGACTGGGCCCCCGCATCAAGGGAAAGGCGTCTCCCCTACAGCCCACTGCACTCAGAGCAGAAGCACAAGGCATCTGCGCTACGTTTTTTGGTGTTTTTTTGTTTTGAGACTGTTGCTCTGTCACCCAGGCTGGAGTGCCGGGACTGTTGCTTCTGACTCTCCACTGACACACAGTACAGCTGTCACCCTGGGCCAGGAGCTGCCACAGGACACACTGTGTCGCAGGCTTTGCAAGGACCTCAGCTCAGACTGACAGCCATTCTGCAAGGGAAGGGCTGTCCACAGCTTCATTTTAGGTGTGAATGAGAAGGCTGGAGTTCATCCAGAGGAAGGATGCAGGAGCTGAGGAGAGCATGGGCAGGGATCTTCCCTGAAAACAAGGTCTGCTCAGAGGGAACAGGCTTTGCCGAGGGTGCACAGCCGGTAAGTGGCAGGCAGAGTCAAGTCATCTGCCAGACCCACAGCCTGTGTGCTGGAAGCCCTACACACGGCCACCTGGCCCCTGAGGACATCCAGGTAGAAGGTGACATCCCAGCTTCTGCCACTGTGACTGCATGAGGCTGGGTTAATTGCCTTGCATTATGATAGTTAATTTGCAGTCATGTGATGATCACATCTACCTGTCACAGAATGGAGATGGAAGCCTTTGTCCCGAGTGGTGATATTCAGTCACCCCTTAAAGAGCCCCGCCATCACCTCTTAGCATTTAGTGCAAGTCCACTTGCCTCCTGAGCTGCTTTCCTGCTTTGGGACAAGTCCTCACCTCCTCATACTTCCCTTTTCCCCTTGGCAATCACAACCTGGGTCTTCCAGGAATCAAGCTCCGTTGCTTGGGTCTCCACAGTGTGTGAGGTATCCCATCACCTACTCCAGACACATCATCGCCTTCATTCCTCACACGAGCCCTGCTTCGTACAGAGTAAGCCTGCTCCATTTTGCTGGTAGGGCAAACGATTCTGCAAAAAGGTTCACACACTAAGGCTGGGTGCAGTGGCTCACGCCTGTAATCCCAGCACTTTGGGAGGCCTAGGCGGGTGGATCACGAGGTCGAGAGATCGAGACCATCACGGTCAACATGGTGAAACCCCGTCTCTACTAAAAATACAAAAAATCAGCTGGGTATGGTGGCGCGTGCCTGTAATCCCAGCTACTCAGGAGGCTGAGGCAGGAGAATTGCCTGAACCCAGGAGGCGGAGGTTGCGGTGAGCCGAGATCGCGCCATTGCACTCCAGCCTGGGTAACAACAGCGAAACTCCATCTCAAAAAAAAAAAAAAAAGGTTCACACACTACCCAAGGCTTTGAGATAGCAAATGGCAGAGCCAGTGTTCAAATCCAACAGTCCAACTCCAAAGCCACTTCACACGCAGCCTTCTTTGATGGCATGACTGTCGCCCTGCCACAAGGTCATATACCAGGACTCTCCACGAATGGTCCTGCCACAGCCCCAGCCTTCCCGGCCCAGGGCCACAGAGCCTTTCAGGAGGCAGACAGGTGTAAGTAATAAACCAATGACTCTTCAGCCTCACCTCTCACTCCAGGGTGATAAATTCTCCATCACAGCAATCTAGGCTCAGTGCAGTGGCTCACCCCTGTAATTACAACACTCTGGGAGGGCCATGCCGTAGGATCGCTTGAGGCTACGAGTCCGTGCCAGCCTAGGTAAACGTGAGACCCTGACTCTACAACAAAATACAAAAATTAGCTGGGCATGGTGGTGCACACCTGTGGTCCCAGCTACTCGGGAGACTAAGGTGGGAGGACTGCTTGAGCCCAGGAGTTGGAGGCTGCTGTCAGCAGTGACAGTGCCACTGCACTGAGCCTGAATGACACAGTGATAACCTCGCTCACACACACACACACACACACACACACAATAGGCCTGGCATGGTGGCTCACACCTGTAATCCCAGCACTTTGGGAGGCCGAGGCAAATGGATCACCTCAGGTCAGGAGTCTGAGACCAGCCTTGCTAACATGGTGAAACCCCGTCTCTACCAAACATACAAAAATTAGCTGGGCATGGTGGCGGATGCCTGTAATCCCAAGATGAGGCAGAAGAATCGCTTGAACCCAGGACAATAAGGTTGCAGTGAGCCAAGATCATGCTACTACACTCCAACCTGGCCAACAGAGTGAGACTCCGAGACTGGGCCAAGAAATAAAAATAAGATAGTGCAATCCGCCTGCATGTGTCACAATTCCCAAGGCCCTTGCCTGGGAAGATGCTGTGGCCTTGGAACACAGGGTGTGGCAGGCCATGCTGGGGTTGCTCAGAGATGGAAGGAGGGTCCAGGGTACCCTCCCAACACCCCCACAGGGTCAGAGTCTACACCCACAGCCACACTTCCCCCAACCCCCAGCAGCCACGCTGCAGGAGCCCCAGGGCCGGGCACCTACTTCCACACCCTGCCCTACCGTCTGCCCCCCGACTCTCACGCCTCCTCACCATGACATGCAGAGTGGGAAGGAAAGGAATTTAACCAGAAATCAGTTCTGATCTGATCTCCGTACCTTGCAGGACAAGCAGCCTCGATTTTTCCTAGCCTCAGTTGCCTAACCTGTAAAATGGGCACGTCTGTAAGCATTACATACACTAAGTCAAAGGAGGCAGACACAAAGGCCCACAGACACAGGCTGTTCAGAGGGCTGCCCGTTAACAGGCAAACCCAGAGACAGCACAGGTGCACGACTGCTGGGGGCCCAGGAAAGGAGAGATGGGGAGTAACTGCTAACGGGCACTCAGTGTCTTCTGGGGGGTGACAAAACAGACTGGAATTCATGGAGTGAGTGCAATAAAAACCACCGCATTTTACACTTAACAGAAGTGCATTTTTTTGGCCAGGTGCAGCGGTTCACACCTGTGATCCCAGCACACTGGGAGGCCGAGGCGGGTGGATCACCTGAGGTCGGGAGTTCGAGACCAGCCTGACCAACATGAAGAAACCCCGTCTCTACTAAAAATACGTAATTAGCTGGGCATGGTGGCACATGCCTGTAATCCCAGCTACTCAGGAGACTAAGGCAGGAGAATCACTTGAACCCAGGAGGCGGAGGTTGTGGTGAGCCAAGATCGTGCCATTGCACTGCAGCTTGGGCAACAGGAGCAAAACTTTCTCAAAAAAAAAAAAAAAAAAAAAAAAGCCTGAATTGTTAAGGTATACAACTTATATCTCCATTTTTGAAAATTCATGCATGTGGACAAGCTGAGAAAAACATGGACCTGGCACTGCCAGCCTTGCACAGTCACGTACATGACACCATGTGACAGCAGGAAGGGCCTGGCCTACTGCCTACCCTGACGGAGGTATCCTCAAATGTCAGTCCCACCCTCCCCTAGCTCTGGCACTGCTGGCTTCTAGGAGGACGTCCGAAAGCAGAGGAGCGTGGCCTGAACTCAATCAACCAACGACGGGGCCTTCCCGGGGCCTGTGCAGGGTCAATGCCAGGGAGGATGCAAGGGAGCAGCTGGGTCCCTGTCTGCCTCTCTGCACCCTGCCCTCCTCTCCTCCGTTGTTGAGACAGAGTCTTGCTCTCTCACCAGGCTGGAGTACAGTAGCACAATCTCGGCTCATTGCAGCCTCCACCTCTCGGGTTCAAGCAATTCTCCTTCCTCAGCCTCCCTCGTAGCTGAGCTCACAGGTACCTACCAACATGCCAGGTTGATTTTTGTATTTTTAGTAGAGACGGGGTTTCACCATTTTGGCCAGGCTGGTCTCAAACTCCCGAGCTCAAGTGATCTGCCCGCCTCAGCCTCCCAAAGTGCCGGGATTACAGGTATGAGGCACCATGCCCGGCCTCCTCCTTTTCTTTACCCAGGCCCTGCAGCAGACCTTTTGTCTTCTCTCGCTCTCTGCTACCAATGTGACTCGTCCTAGAATTGGGGTGGCCACTGGGGAGAGCCGCCCAGCAAACAGTCCACTGGGCTTCCTTGCCCTTCGGGTCCAGCTGGGGGGAGGCACAGTGCAGTTTCCTTGGGTGCATCCACCCTCTGTGGGCATGGGCCAAGTGCATGGCAGTGTGGGCTGTTCCGGGCATGCATCTCCCTGGGCCTCTCACAGTCAAGGGCAGGATTTGGGCATTTGCTGTGCCCTGGCCAAAGGACCACTGAGTCCATCACCACTGCCAGCCATGCCTCTTCCCATTCCCTTTTGGGCTCCTACCCCTGTGCAGTAGCCTCGTCTGACACCTTCGGTCCTGACACTCCAAAGCATAGGTGTGGGTCTCAGCCCCTAGCTCCCTTTTATGGGTTGAATTTTGTCTCCTAGAAGCATCAGTTGAAGTTGAACCCTTGCAACCTATGAACATAACCTTATTTGGAAACTGCATCTTTCTGGGTACTAATTAGTTAACATGACATGCAATCAAGTTCAGATGAAATCATACTGAATAAGGGGGTGGGAGGAGCTCACTTAATGATGGGGATCTTCGTTAGAGAGGGATTTGGACACAGAGGATACACAGGGGACAGTCATATGAAGACAGGAACAGAGACCAGAGGGATGCAGCCACAAGCCAAGGAGTGCTGGCCACCCCTGGAATGTGCAAGGGACAGGAGCGAGCCTCCCCTAGAGCCCACAGTGGGCGCATGGCCCTAATGACACATGATCTCAGACTTCTGGCCCACAGAACTGTAATGCAATAAGTGTCCATCGTTTTAAGCCACCAGTATGCAGCTGTGGTCATTTATCACAGTGGCCATAAGAACTTTCCTCACCTTGGTACCAGAAACCCTTCGAACCAGCACAGCCCAATGAGCAGTCCAAGGAGGCAGAAGGCATCAGTCTCTCCAGCATCTTTATGATGAAAAGAAACCACATCCATCTCCTGACTGCACACACAGCCACGTGGGGTCAGTCCCTTCCTGGCCTGGGCTGACAGCCCATCAAATCATCTCCCAGACTGCTGCCACTGTGCTCTGTCCGAAGATGAAGGTGCCGACCAGCACAGAGACCACTCCCCAGACCTCCAGGCAGCACCTGCCAAGTCAGTAAACCTGTATCAGAGCTTTTCTGGATTTTTGCACAAGTAAGCCACACACACATAGAGAATTTACTATGTAAAGTCCAACAGAGTCATCAGTTTGAAAAACAAAACAGAATATTCCTAGTTACATGTAGGGATGGGCTTCTAAGGCAGTGGGAGGCAAAGTACCCAAGCAATTTTTTGTTTTGTTTTGTTTTGTTTTGTTTTGAGGTGGAGTCTGGCTCTGTCCCTAGGCTGGAGTGCAGTGGCAGGATCTCGGCTCACTGCAACCTCGGCCTCCCAGGTTCAAGCAATTCTCCCACCTCAGCCTCCTAAGTAACTGGGACTACAGGTGCACCCCACAACACTGAGCCAATTTTTATATTTTCAGTAGAGACAAGGTTTCACCATGTTTGCTAGGCTGGTCTCGAATTCCTGACCTCAAGTGATCTGCCCACCTCGGCTTCCCAAAGTGCTGGGATTACAAGCGTGAGCCACCGTTCCTCACCCCAATCAATTTTTAAAAGCCCTCCGACCCCACCTGTTACTTCATAACCTCGTTTCTCCCCAGTATTTTATCAAAGAAAAAGACATGAAGGCTGGGTGCGGTGGCTCACACCTACAGCCTTGGCACTTTGGGAGGCCGAGGTGGGTAGATTCACCTGAGATCAGGAGTTCAAAAGCAGCCTGGCCAACATGGTGAAACCCCATCTCTACTAAACACAATCACACACACACACACACACACACACACACACACACACACACACACACGCCGGGCTTGGTGGCACACACTGAGAGTCCCAGCTACTTGGGAGGCTGAGGCAGGAGAATTGCTTGAACCCAGGAGGCGGAGATTGTAGTGAGCCGAGATTGCACCACTGCACTACAGCCCGGATGACTGAGCAAGACACCATCTCAAAAAAAAAAAAAAAAAAAAAAAAAAAAAAAAAAAAAAAAAATATATATATATATATATATATATATATATATATATATATATATATATATTAGAAGAAAAAAGGAAAGGAAAAGACAAAGAGAGAGGGGAGACAACCCTGCTTTCAAAGTTCCCCTGCCCTCCCTCAGCCTCTGATGAAACCCCATGAAAGTGAAGGAGAAGACACAAGCTCTAAATCACACAGCACCTTAGAGGAGTAGGGGAGGAGGACGCGGGAGGCGGAGGTGTCTGGGACCGGCAGCCACCGAGGCCACATTTTGCGAGCTTCATAATGTAACCAGAGACAGGGAAGACGACGAGGTCAGAGCGTTAACGAGATTTCCACAAAATGGCAGGGCCGCTAGAGATATTTCCGGCCCCATTAACAAAGGCCAGAAGGATGAGTTGTCACAGAAGGAACATTTCTAACCGAGCAGTTTCTCAGCACAGCGGTTAAGTGTCACAAACATCCATTCATCTTCGGGGGGACTCTGAGGCCAATGTGCCTGTGGGCTGTGGCACTCCTGGGGAGGCGCTGATATATTAGAAGGGCCTAACGCAGTTTTAGCAATAAAAATATCTTGAGAGCTCATCAGTAAGAACTGTCGTGAGCTTGGATCGAGGGACAAAACAAAAGCATGAAGACTCCAAAGGGCACCCCAGGGAACGAACGGTTTAGAGGGTTGCCAGACATCAGAAGTCTAGTTCAAAACTCCAGGCAGGTTTAGAAATATCCAGAAAAACTGCTCTCCATCTGCAGCCGGGTGTGGTGGTTCACGCCTGTAATCCCAGCACTTTGGGAGGCCAAGGTGGGCGGATCGCCTGAGGTCAGGAGTTCCATACCAGCCTGGCCAACGTAGTGAAACCCCGTCTCTACTAAAAATGCCAAAATTAGCTGGGCATGGTTGTGGGTGCCTGTAATCCCACTGTAATCCTAGCTACTCGAGGGGAGAACCGCTTGAACCTGGGAGGCGGAGGTTGCAGTGAGCTGAGATTGCGCCACTGCACTCCAGCCTGGGCGACAGAACAAGACTCCGCCTCAAAAACAAAAACAAAACAAAAAGAAAACTGCTCTCAATCCAGAAGAAACTGAGCCAGGCCTGCTCCTTTGGAAAAACCAAGCTTGGGCTCCACGGGGCTAGAGGGATGAGGGATACAGGAAAGAGACCTACAGCTGGGCCCCACGTTCACGGTTGCCGTCATTTCAGATGCTCTCTGGTGGGGTGAAGGCTGGCCCCCACAATTCATGTCCACCTAGAACTTGTGTTTGTGAGCCCGTCTGGAAGCTGAGTCTTGCGGATGTCATTAAGTGAAAGATCTTGAGAGAAGAGGCAATCTAGATTTAGGGTAGGCACTCAATCCGATGGTAGGTATCCTTATAAAAGAAGGCAGCCAGGTGTGGTGGTAGGTGTCTGTGGTTGCAGCCACTCAGGAGGCTGAGGCAGGAGGATCTCTTGAGCTCAGCAGGTGGAGGCTATAGTAAGCCAAGATTTGATTACACCACTGGACTCCAGCCTGAGCCACAGAGCAAGACCTCTCAAATAATAAAATAAATAAAAGCAGAGGGATATTTGAGACGCAGAGACACAAGGAGAAGACTAGAGAGACAGTCAGAGACCAGAGTGGTGTAGCCACAGGCTGAGGAACACCTGGGGCCACCAGAAGCTGAGGATCCTTTAGACAGTCCAGCCCTGCTGCACCCTCACGTCACACTCCTGGCTCCAGAACTGGGAAAAAATTCACTCCTGTTGCTTTAAGCCTCCCCACTCCCATGCCCCAGTTTGTGGAAACTTGTTACAATGACCCGAGAAAATTAATACAGCAACTCTTTACCTGCCTCAGCCTCAGTTTCCATATCTGTGGAATGGGAGGGAGTCACAGAGACCCTCAGGCTTCCCAGGGACGTCAGAGAAGCAGCACATCAGTCATGCGTGCATTGCCTGTTTCAGTGGGTCAGACTCAGCAGCTCAGTGGCAAAGTACAGAGGCTCCTCAGTCGGGTCTGATCCACAGCCCAGCCCGGGGAAAACTTGTCAAATAAAGATCCAAATTCTCGTCTCAAGAGCATGGTATGTAACCCAACGCAAAGAAACTAGGAAACTTGAAAAAAGATTGGATGAAATGCTAACGAGAAGGGACAGCATAGAGAGGAATATAAGTGAATTGATGGAGCTGAAAAACACAACACGAGAACTTCGTGAAGCATGCACAAGCTTCAACAGCAGAATTGACCAAGCAGAAGAAAGGATATCAGAGGTCGAAGATCAACTCAATGAAATAAAAAGAGAAGGCAAGAACAGAGAAAAAAGCGCAAAACGGAATGAACAAAATCTTCAAGGAATGTGGGACTATGCGAAAAGACCTAATCTACGTTTGATAGGTGTATCTGAATGTGATGAAGAGAATGAATCCAAGCTGGAAAATACTCTTCAGGATATTATCCAGGAAAACTTCCCCAACCTAGCAAGGCAGGCCAATATTCAAATACAGGAACTACAGAGAACACCACAAAGATATTCCTCAAGAAGAGCAACCCCAAGACACATAATCGTCAGATTCACCAGGGTTGAAATGAAAGAGAATATGCTAAGGGCAGCCAGAGAGAAAGGTCGGGTTACCCACAAAGGGAAGCCCATCAGACTCACAGCAGATCTCTCAGCAGAAACCCTACAAGCCAGAAGAGATTGGGGGCCAATATTCAACATCCTTAAAGAAAAGAACTTTCAACCCAGAATCTCCTATCCAGCCAAACTCAGCTTCATAAGTGAAGGAAAAATAAAATCCTTTGTGAACAAGCAAGCACTCAGAGATTTCATCACCACCAAACCTGCTCTGCAAGAACTCCTGAAAGAGGCTCTACACATATAAAGGAACAACCAGTACCAGCCGCTCCAAAAACACACCAAATGGTAAAAGAGCATCAACACAATCAAGAATCTGCATCAACTAACCAACAAAACAGCCAGGTAGCATCAAAATGACAGTATCAAATTCACATATAACAATACTATCCCTAAATGTAAATGGACTAAATGCCCCAATCAAAAGACACAGACTGGCAAATTGGATAAAAGGCCAAAACCCATCAGTGTGCTGTATCCAGGAAACCCATCTTACATGCAAGGATACACAAAGGCTCAAAATAAAGGATGGAGGAAGATCTACCAAGCAAATGGAGAGCAAAAAAAGGCAGGAGTTGCAATTCTCATCTCGATAAAATAGACTTTAAAGCAACAAAGATCAAAAGAGACAAAGAAGGACATTACATAATGGTAAAAGAATCACTGCAACAAGAAGAGCTAACGATCCTAAATATATACGCACCCAATACAGGAGCACCCAGATATATAAGGCAAGTTCTTAACGACTTACAAAGAGACTTAGACTCCCACACAATAATAGTGGGAGACTTTAACACCCCATTGTCAATATTAGACAGATCAACCAGACAGAAAATCAACAAGGATATCCAGGACCTGAACTCAGACATGGAACAAGCAAACCTAATAGACATTTACAGAACTCTCCACCCCAAATCCACAGAATATACATTCTTCTCAGCACCACATCACACCTACTCTAAAATTGACCACATAATTGGCAATAAATCACTCCTCAGCAAATGCAAAAGAACGGAAATCATAATAAACAGTCTCTCAGACCACAGTGCAATCGAGTTAGAACTCAGAATGCAGAAACTAACTCAGAACCGCACAGCTTCATGGAAACTGAACAACTTGCTCTTGAATGTTGACTGGATAAACAATGAAATGAAGGCAGAAATAAAGATATTCTTTGAAATCATCGAGAATGAAGACACAACATACCAGAATCTCTGGGACACATTTAAAGCAGTCTCTAGAGGAAAATATATAGCAATGAGTGCCCACATGAGAAAAAAGGAGAGATCTAAAATTGACACCCTATCATCAAAATTGAAAGAGCTAGAGGAGCAAGATCAAAAAAACTCAAAACCTAGCAGAAGACAGGAAATAACTAAGATCAGAGCAGAACTGAAGGAAATAGAGACACAAAAAACTCTTCAAAATATCAATAAATCCAGGAGCTGGTTTTTGGAAAAGATCAACAAAATAGACCACTAGCCAGATTAATAAAAAAGAAAAGAGAGAATAACCAAATTGATGCAATAAAAAATGATAAAGGGGATATCACCACAGATTCCACAGAAATCCAAACCATCATCAGAGATTATTACAAACAACTCTATGCACATAAACTAGTAAACCTGGAAGAAATGGATAAATTCCTGGACACCGGCATCCTCCCAAGCCTAAACCCGGAAGAAGCCGAAACCCTGAATAGACCAGTAACAAAGTCTGAAGTCAAGGCAGCAATAAAGAGCCTACCACCCAAAAAAAAGCCCAGGTCCAGATGGGTTCACTGCCGAATTCTACCAGATATACAAAGAGGAGCTGATACCATTCCTTCTGAAACTATGCCAGACAATCCAAAAAGAGGGAATCCTTCCCAAATCATTTTACGAGACCAACATCATCCTGATACCAAAACCCGGCAGAGACTCAACAAGAAAAGAAAATTTCAGGACAATATCCATGATGAATATAGATGCAAAAATCTTCAATAAAATACTGGCAAACAGATTGCAACAGCATATCAAAAAGCTCATCCACCATGATCAAGTAGGATTCATCCTGGGGATGCAAGGCTGGTTCAACATACACAAGTCCATAAACGTAATTCACCACATAAACAGAACCAAAGACAAAAACCACATGATTATCTCAATTGATGCAGAGAAGGCCTTTGACAAAATTCAACAGCCCTTTATGCTAACAACCCTCAATAAACTAGGTATTGACGGAATGTATCTCAAAACAATAAAAGCTATTTAAGACAAACCAACAGCCAATATCATACAGAATGGGCAAAAACTGGAAGCATTCCCTTTGAAATCTGGCACTAGACAAGGATGCCCTCTCTCACCACTCCTATTCAATATAGTACTGGAAGTTCTAGCCAGAGCAATCAGGCAAGAAAAAGAAATAAAGGGTATTCAAATTGGAAAGGAGGAAATCAAATTGTCTCTATTTGCAGATGACATGATTGCATATCTAGAAGACCCCATCGTCTCAGCCCAAAATCTCCTGAAACTGATAAACAACTTCAGCAAAGTCTCAGGATACAAAATCAGCATGCAAAAATCACAAGCATTCCTATACACCAGTAACAGACTTAAAGAGAGCCAAATCAAGAGCGAACTGCCATTCACAATTGCTACAAAGAGAAAAAAATACCTAGGAATACAACTAACAAGGAACGTAAAGGACCTCTTCAAGGAGAACTACAAGCCACTGCTCAACGAAATAAGAGATGACACAAACAGATGGAGAAACATTCCATGTTCATGGTTAGGAAGAATCAACATTGTGAAAATGGCCATACTGCCCAAAGTAATTTACAGATTCAACGCTATTCCCATCAAGCTACCAATGACCTTCTTCACAGAACTGGAAAAAAACACCTTAAACTTCATATGGAACCAAAAGAGAGCCTGCATAGCCAAGTCAATTCTAAGCAGAAAGAACAAAGCAGGAGGCATCACACTACCGGACTTCAAACTATACTACAAGGCTACAGTAATCAAAACAGCATGGTACTGGTACCAAAACAGAGATATAGACCAATGGAACAGAACAGAGGCATCAGAGGAAATACAACATACCCACAACCATCTGATTTTTGACAAACCTGACAAAAACAAGCAATGGGGAAAGGAGTCCCTGTTTAATAAATGGTGTTGGGAAAACTGGCTAGCCATGTGCAGAAAGCAGAAACTGGATCCCTTCCTGACACCTTACACCAAAATTAACTCCAGATGGATTAAAGACTTAAACATCAGACCTAACACCATAAAAACCCTAGAAGAAAATGTAGGCAAAACCATTCAGGACATAGGCATAGGCAAGGACTTCATGAACAAAATGCCAAAAGCAATGGCAACAAAAGCCAAAATAGACAAATGGGACCTAATCAAACTCCACAGCTTCTGCACAGCAAAAGAAACAGTCAGTAGAGTGAATCGGCAACCAACAGAATGGGAAAAAATTTTTGCAGTCTACCCATCTGACAAGGGGCTGATATCCAGAATTTACAAAGAACTAAAACACATCTACAAGAAAAAAACAAACAAGCCCATTCAAAAATGGGCGAAGGATATGAACAGATACTTTACAAAAGAAGACGTACAGGAGGCCAACAAACATATGAAAAAATGCTCATCATCATTGGTCATTAGAGAAATGAAAATCAAAACCACATTGAGATACCATCTCACACCAGTTAGAATGGCAATCTTTAAAAAATCTGGAAACAACAGATGCTGGAGAGGATGTGGAGAAATAGGAACAATTTTATACTGTTGGTGGGAATGTAAATTAATTCAACCATTGTGGAAGACAGTGTGGCAATTCCTCAATGACCTAAAAATAGAAATCCCATTTGACCCAGCAATCCCATTACTGGCTATATATCCAAAGGATTATAAATCATTCTACTATAAGGACACATGCACACCAACGTTCATTGCAGCATTGTTCACGATAGCAAAGACCTGGAACCAACCCAAATGCCCAACGATGATAGACTGGATAGGGAAAATGTGGTACATATACACCATGGAATATTACGCAGCCATCAAAAACGATGAGTTCATGTCCTTTGTAGGGATATGGATGAACCTGGAAACCATCGTTCTCAGCAAACTGACACATGAGCAGAAAATCAAACACTGAATGTTCTCACTCATAGGCAGGTGTTGAACAATGAGAACACATGGACACAGGGAGGGGAGCACTACACACTGGGGTCCGTTGGGGGAAAATGGGGGAGGGATGGGGGGGTGGGGAGGTGGGAAGAGATAGCATGGGGAGAAAGGACAGATACGGGCGAGGGGATGGAAGGCAGAAAACCACACTGCCATGTGTGTACCTATGCAACAATCTTGCATGTTCTTCACATGTACCCCAAAACCTAAAATGCAATAAAAAAAAAAAAAGGGCATGGTATGCAACACAAGTAGGAAGCACAGGGCCTGGGAGCCAGGGGCCTAGGTTATATCCTAGCTCTGTCCTCACTAGCCTCCTGGCCCGCCTCCTCATCTGTAGGATGGAGACATCCAGGTATGGGGGAAAGGCAAACATGTAAAGGGACCTAGCACAGTGCCTAACAAAGGAGCCTCCAACACTGACCTGCTGCCGTGATGATAGAACACATTGTTTGGTATCTGACCAGCCATGGTGCCTCTCTAACTCACCTTGCACCCTGACCCTACCCTGGGTTCAAGCCAGATATCAAAGGAGGGTGCAGATGCCCCACTGGGTGCTTCCAGAGGCTGGAATCTACATGAAATCCCAAGCACAGCCCCTCAGAGCAGAAACAAAGACCCTTGCAGGACCCGGCGTCACTGGCCTGGGCTCCCGTCCTGGTTCAGATGCCCTCATAATGTGTGGACAGGGACTCTCTCCCTGTGCTGCATATTTCTCAACTGCAGGGCAAGGAGGGTGGAAAATAGCATCTCCAGGGTCCCTGAAGCATTCTTAATCTGATCCGGGGCACACTCAGATTGCCACCTTATCTTAGGAACACTTACTTGACTCTCGGTCCTACAGGCTCGACGCCCATTGCGCAGATGAGGCACAAACCTGCAAAGAACACACGGTCACCTCCAGCTCTTCATCATCAAGCCCAAAGCAACCAAGAAGTCCTGGGGGCAGTCCTCAGGGACCCAGAAGGCCAGCAAGGCTTCTGCCCACAGGCGACCCGGGCTCAGGCCCCCTGGCGAGGCAATGCAGTGGAAGTGGAAGGGCGGGTCTGGAGTCCCAGCTCAACATGCCCCTAGTGACTTGGCCAGAGGTCTGGCTACAACTGGCTTCCCAAAGCCTTGCCTTTCAGGCAACCCTGATAACACGCCCTCCACGGCAGGGTCTGCAAGAAGATGGTGAGGGTCCATGCCTGACACCTAAGTGCTCAGTAACTGGCAGCTACCCCAATTTTATTCTTAATGGGTCTGCTGGGATTCAAGGCGTGTAGCTCGGCCTAAAGATCCCGTGGGATCCTCTCTCATCCCAAACCTGTCCTGGGCAGTCCCTTCCCAGCACAGAAAATAGCCAGAGCTACAACTAAGTACCTGGTCACAGAAGCAGAACCTAATCCAGAATCCCAGACCAGGGAACTTGGGAGAAAACCACGTGGCCACACCCTCACTTCTGAGAAGCTCCACCCACGGCCTGAGGGAGGAGCCATGTGGCCACACCCTCAACCCTGAAAGCCCCGCCCAGAGTCTGAGGGAGGTGCTGTGGCCACACCCCTTACCTCTGAAAGCTCCACCCCAAGCCACATCCCTCCCCTCTCTGAAAGCTCCACCCAGAACCTGGGGGAGGAGCCACATGGCCACACCCTCACCTCTAAGAACTCCGCCCACAGCCAGAAGCAGAGTGGGTGGCTGCTCTCCTCCCCTCCCCTCCCTTCCCTTCCCTAGATTTTATCCCTTAATCCCAGTAGACCCCAATTTACAGAAGCTAGGGCAGGCAGGGTTAGAGTCTCAAGGAACTGCATACATCAAAGACAACCCCTGAATTCACCTGCTAAGAACTCAGTTTTCATATTCCACACATCAGTTGGCCTCTTTGATAACCAGGGTTTCTCTGCGGCCCTCAGTTCTTCCATCCTCCACCTCCAGGCTACTGAAGAAGTTGTCATCACCCACTTACCTGGGACCCTGAACAATGTTTCATTTCCCCATTCGAGATTTGAAAAACTTGTTACAGCCTCCCCCACGCTTTCTGTAAGTTCCACCAGTGGGCACCTACTTCTTCTCTGTTTAACATAAGGGCTGCATAGGGAGTTTGGGGATACCTGGCTAAGGGTCCCCAAGCTCAACGTCCGCTTGACATGGTTCCTCTCACGGCTGAATGACAGGGTCCGCTCAGGACCCTGTCAGAAAAAGCACTGAGGGAGCCTGGGCTCTGTGCTCAGCACTTGCTGTGCATGGGGCCGTGCACCCACCTCGGCGGATCTGGGGCCTCTGTTCTGGGCCCCAGTGGGCCACTACAGTGTGCCTCCTTCCTCTGGAGGAAGCATCCCTCCAGCCCCAGTCCTGCTGGCTTCTCCTCCTCAGATAACGCTTGGGCTGTTCCAAATTGAAACAGCTCCCCATCACACACTAGCTTTGGAAAGGTTTCACTGGAAACCATCGTCTGCAGAAACAGTGTTTGCCTCCAGTGCCTGGGGGCCAGGAAGGCAGGGAGATATTTGGAGGGTGTCTTCAGCCAAGTGACTTTCACATATACTATTTTCTTTTTTAATAAAACAAAATCCTTTAGCAAAAGGCAGCAGTGGTAGCATGGACAGAGCTGCACGGCCGACCCTCAGCCCTGCTGCACACTAGCTTGGCCCCCGGAGGGGTGCAGGGCCTTCGTCTTCCCCTCTGTGGAGTGGGATGATAAAGGTTCATCCGTCAAGGATGTCCATCAAGAACTGCATTAGTCTGTTCTCATGCTGCTACTAAAGACCTACCAAAGACTAGGTAATTTTTTCTTTCCTTTTTTTTTTTTTTTTTTTTTTTTTTTTTGAGATAGAGTTTCATTTTTGTTATCCAGGCTGGAGTGCAATGGCACAATCTTGGCTCACTGCAACCTCCGCCACCTGAGTTCAAGAGATTCTCCTGCCTAAGCCTTCTGAGTAGCTGCAATTACAGACATGTGCCACCATGCCCGGCTAATTTTTTTTTTTTTTTAGTAGAGATGGCGTTTCTCCATGTTGATCAGGCTGGTCTTGAACTCTCGACCCCAGGTGATCCACTCACCTTGGCCTGGGATTACAGGCATGAGCCACTGCACCCGGCCAGAGACTAGGTAATTTATAGAGGAAAGAGGTTTAATGGACTCGCAGTTCCACATGGCTGGGGAGGCCTCATAATCATGGAGGAACTTGAATGAAGAGCAGGCTCACGTCTTACATGGCAGCAGGCAACAGAGCTTGTGCAGGGGAACTATCCTTTATAAAACCATCAGATCTCTTAAGACTTATTCACTACCAGGAGAACAGTATGAGGGGAACCACTCCCATGATTCAACTATCTCTACCTTGCCCTACCCTTCACACATGAGGATTATTACAGTTCAAGGCGAGATTTGTTTGGGAACACAGCCAAACCCTATCAGGGGCTACTCAGATGTTTAATGAGTAAGGGAAGGTATGTCAACTCTGAGCCCTGTGCCTGGCTCAACAAGCAGGGCACCTACATGGGGCCTTAATCCTACCCATATGTGGCTCCCACCTTCCAGAACCATTACTTCCAACACTGGGAGTCCCCACAGAGATGAGCTAGGAAGGATGAGCAGGCAGGAAACCTGGAAACCAGGGTCCTCACCTGGGAAGATGAAGATAAAGAAGGAACTGATGCCTCCGATGATGCTGACGATCTCGCTGAGGTCGGGTATAAACAGCGCCATGGAGAGTGTCACAGTGACCCACAGGATGGTCAGTGGCATCCGGACCCATAGCCCTGAGGGGTCAGCCAGGGCCCTGGGCCCCCGCACCCCCCAGCAGCTCCTCTTCCAGAAGTCCTGCATCACCGACCTGGAGGCCACACCCACGACAGACACATGGGCATCCCAGAGACACCAGCCTGCACCTGCCAGCTGCTCCCCCAGTCCTCCAAGAGTGTCCTGACACGGCTCCTGTTCCACACTCCGGCCCTTATTCCCCAGGGGACCTTGCCAACCCTCAGCAGTTGTGCCACCATCAGGCAGCCCATGAAGCAGAGGATCAAGCACGTGGGCTTGAGTTCAAGTCCTGGCTGTGACGCACACTCACGAGGTGACTTGGCGCAATCTACCTAAATCCTCTGTGTCCGTTTCCTTCTCTCTACAATGGAGAGGATGACAGTCCCACAACTGTGTAGCCCACACTTGGCACATGCTCAGTCACAGCATGTGTCAGCAGACCCTGATGACTGGTGCCCCCCACTGAGCCGGGCCTCACCTGCCCAGGAAGAGCACGATGGGGTAGACAGTTACGATGGAGACAGCAAAAAGGACCCGGGCCACAATGATGACCGTGTTGTTGCCTGGGTAGGACATCAAGACGTCAGCAGAAACTTCTGTCCCAAAGGTCAGGAAGCCATAAACCCCTGTAAGTGGGAAAGGATGGAAGCCAGAGTGGATTAGAAGAATGCCACCCCCACCCCCTGCCACCAACAGACCAGTTTCTCCTGGCTTTATCACCTAAGGTGTTCCTTAGGAGCTGACAGCGGGTTCTAGAGGGATAGCCCAAAGCTTTCCTATCCTAAGCCTACACATGACTTAGCTCCACGGATTGAAAACTCCTGCAGACAAATCCGCCCTCTTATCCTTCTTGCAAATTGCTCACAGAGCTGGTGCACGGAGCTTACCCATAGAGCGTATGTTGACTAGAAACACAGAGCACTTTGAAAAATACAAACACACCTCCCATGCCATGTCCATCTCACTCCTACGACAGCTAAAGAAAGCAGCTAGCTGCACACCCATTTCCAAATGGGGAAAACCAAGAGCGCCAGCGACTGCCTGGAACCACACAGCTAGCTTTGGTGGGCTGAGGACCAGAACACCAGTCCCGCTGCCCCAACAGGGTGATGCTGCTTCTGTCACCCCGGGTCACCTGCCCTGTCCTGAGACATCTGCCTCTGACTAAGAGCCATCTCCCTTTTCAGCTTCTCTCCAGGCCCTTTCTGAGAGGTCCCGCGGCCCTGGCACTGGGAACACCTGGAGGTGACACTCAATCACTGAGTCACACCCTCTGACCCAGGGGCTGCAGGCTGCCAGTACCTCCTCTGCTGGGGAAGGAGTCACGCAGCAAGCTTCCTGGGTAACCACAGTATCTTCGTTCATTTTCTGCTGCTTAGAACAGAATACTTGAAACTGGGCTTTTCATACAGAAATTTGTTTCCTACAGTTATGGAAGGCTGAGAAGTCCAAGACTGAGGGCCCACACCTGGTGAGGACCTTCTTGCCAATGGGACTGTCTTCAGAGTCCCAAGACGATACAAGGCATTGCTTAGCAAGGAGGGTGAGCTCTGACTCCTTAAAGGACGGGGACTGCCTCTTCGGATAAAGCCACCTGTGCCATGTCCATGATAGCCCATTAGTCCTTTAGCCCATTAAACCATTAGGCCCCTGCCCCATGCCTGCCTCTTATGTGGGCTCTTTAGCTGGACCTAGAAACTAAATCGACACCAGACAATCAAAGCAATGGGAGAAAAGCCTACAGATCTTCTCAATTTTCCATGTCCATGGCATCTTCACAAGAGAGTGATGTCTGAAGATGTGACCAAAGTGAGATGCGTTAATACTTTTTAGACAAAGATAAATCTGACAGGGAAGGACAGGACAAAGGGGATCTGGTCAGGGGCAGTGAATTTCTAGGGGAGTCACTGGGACAATCTGGGGTAGGTATAAAACTAGCAGAAGCTAAGGGCTAGTTAATTAAGTGAATTTTTTTCAGGTCCAGTGCAGCCTGAAATCCCGCTTCCAGTGATAAGGACTATTTTCTCATCCTGGGTATGAGGAGGGCACCACCCCCTACCCAGAGATATCTTGATGGCTTAATGCCTGCAGAAGGAGACAAGTCAGGTAGCCCTTTCTGAAATTAGTTTCTCCAATATTTTCAACCCCAAATAACCAATGTACCAATGTAGCATGTTGCCAGGTGGTGCGTCCTTCACCACAAATGGACTAACCTGTTCATGAGAGCAGAGTGCTCATGACTCGACAACTTCTTAAAGGTCCCACCTCTCGATACTGCCACACCGGCAATTACATTTCAACATGGGTTGTGGAGGGGCCAAAGAATCAAACCACAGCCTTCTACCCCTGGTTCCCAAAACTCACATCCTCCTCACAGATCAATACCCCATGGTTATTCCAAGCCCATGGCCCCCGAGTCTTCATTTGCTCCAGCACCAACTCAAAGGTCCAAAGGCCAGAGTTTGGTCTGTGAACCTGTGAAATCAAAAGCCATCTGTGTCCGACACAGTGGCAGTGCAGGCAGAAGGAACATTCTCATCCCAGGAGGGAGACGAAGGGAAACGAAAAGGAGTAAAGACTCCAGGCAAGTCCGAAACCCAGCAGGGCAGACGCTCACCTCTTCTGACACCGTGTGCCACCCCCCTGCACACACCGGGGCAGCCCCGCTCCTACGGCTTTGCCGGGTGCGGCCCCCGTGTCTGTTCACAGGGGTTGGCGCCTGATGCCTGAAGCTTTTGCAGGCCGGTGTTGCACGGTGCTGGTGACTTCGCACTTCTTGGGCCCAGTGATACTCGCACTCCCATGGCTCCACTAGGCATTGCCCTGGCAGAGACCCTGCAGCAGCTCCAACCGTGCATCTCCACTGGGAATTTCACATACGGGGGCTCTCCAGAGTGGCTCCACACTGGGACAAGTCTCTGCCTGGACCCCTAGGCTTTCAACAACATCCTTTAACTTTTTTTGAGACAGGGTCTTGCTCTGTCACCCAGGCTGGAGTGCAGTGACACAATCATAGCTCACTGCAGCCTTGACCTTCAGGGCTCAAGTGATCCTCCAGCCTCAGCCTCCTGAGTAGCCAGAACTACAGGCTCGCACCACCATGTTCTGCTAATTAAAAAAAAAAAAATTTTGTAGAGACAGGGTCTCACTACATTGTCCAGACTGGTCTCAAACTCCTGGCCTCAAGCAGCCCTCTCACCTCAGCCTCCCTAACTGCTGGGATTACAGGCCTGAGCCACCACACCTGGCCTGAACAGCATCCTCTGAAATCTGGGTGGAGGCTGCCAAGCTTCTGTAGCTCTTGCTGTGTGCCAGGCTGCAGAATTAGTACCACGTGGATGCTGCCAAGATTTACAGCTTACACCTTCTGGGGCTGTGGCACGAGCCACGCCAAAGGCCACTTGAGCCATGGGTGGTGCAGTGAGGAATGCTGGGCCAGGGTGCAGGCAGCAGAGACATGAGGGGTCCTGGGATCACCTGTGGGGGCACCCTAGGTCTGTCCCCCAAACCATCCTGCTCTTGAGGCCTCTGAGCCTGTGATAGGAGGGGCGGCCTCTAAGATCTCTGAAATGCCTTCAGGGTCTTTCTTCCATTCTCTAGATAATCCCTTCTCTCTGTACTAATCTCCTTAGCAAAAGGTCGTAGGGCCATACCCTCAGTTTCCTATCCAGAGCACGCGTTGCACTCTACATGGCCAGGCTGAAAGAGCTCCAGATTTTGCCGCTTTCCTTCTCTTTTAATGATCAATTCCATCTGCAAGTCATTTTTGCCTCTCCTATCCTAAGGTAAGCAGTTTACGAGTAGCCATGCAACAGTCTGAATGTTCTGCTGCTTGGATATTCCTTCCACCAGACACTTTAGTTCATTTTTTTTTTTTTTAAGACAGAGTTTCACTCTTGTTGCCCAGGCTGGAGTGCCACGTTGTGATCTGGGCTCAATGCAACCTCTACCTCCCAGGTTCAAGTGATTCTCCTGCCTCAACCTCCTGAGTAGCTGGGATTACAGGCATCCGCCACCATGCCCAGCTGATTTTTTGTATTTTTAGTACAGATGAGGTTTTACCATGTTGGCCCAGCTGGTCTTGAACTCCTGACCTCAAGTGATCTGCCCGCCTTGGCCTCCCAAAGTGCTGGGATGACAGGTGTGAGCCACCATGACCAGCCACTTCATCCCTTTCAAGTTCAGCCTTCCGCAAAGCCCTTGGGCATGGACACAGTTCCGCCAGCTCCTTTGCCAGTTTCTAACAGTTTTGGACTTTACTCCAGCTTCCAAAACTTTGCTCCTCAGTGCCGTCTGAAACCTCCTCAGAATAGCCTTTATTATCCATATTTCCATGACTAGCTAACCAGTATCAAGAAGTTCCAAATGTTCCCTAGTCTTGTCTCTAAGCCCTCACCAGAATCTAGGCTTTTTCTAGCTGCTCCCCCAAATTCTTCCAGCCTGACCCATTACCCAGCTCCAAAGCCACTTCCACATTCCAGGTAATTATCATCCTCAACACCCCACTCTTCATACCAATCTTCAGTCTTAGTCTATTTTTTTGTTGGTTACAACAGAATGCCTAAAACTGAGTAATTTATAAAGAAAGGGAATTTATTTTTTTCCAGTTACAGTGGTTGAGAAGTCCAGGATCAAGAGGCTGCCTGTGGTGAGAGCCTTCTTGCTGGTGGGGACCTGCAGAACCCTGAAGTGGCACGCAGGGTGTCATGTGCTGAGGGGGCCGACCGTGTGAGCTCGGGTCTCTCTTCATCTTACAAAGCCACCAGCCCCACTCCCATGATAACCTATTAATCCAATAATCCATGAATAGATTAATCCGATCATAAGGGCAGAGCCCTCATGACCCAATCCCCTCTTTACAGCCCCAGCTCTCAACACTACTACATCATGGATTAAATTTCAACATGAGTTTTAAAGAGGATAAAAATTCAAACCATAGCACACCAGAGTTCAAGGCTGCCTGGTAGACTCACTGTAGCCCAAAGGCTTCCTCAATTGGAGGCTCCGATGGTGAATGAAAAAAGGACTGGAATCAAGTGGCCAGCCAGAAGCCAGCCATGCCTGGGACCTGGGTTCTGTGCCTCCAACGCACTGTACAACCTGGGTGTGTCACAGACCCTCTCTGAGCCATACTTTCAACACCTTTAAAGACCCTCTGCCTCCCACACAGTTTGTGAGCACCTAAGTCTACTGTACCCACACACGTTTTATAAACCACTACCGAGATGTCACACTATAATAACCAACATGACTGCCATCCTCTGAACAGCAGGCAGTAGGGCTGGGTGTGGTAAGAGCAGAGACTTTGGAGACAGCTGGGCTGGAGTTTCCGTCTCGGCTTTGCAGAACTAGTCGTGAAACCCTGAGCAAGTTCTGGAGGCCCTCTGAGCCTCAGAACTCGGTCAAAAGACCTAGGAAAGGAGGTCTTTTCCTAAGGGTTAAAGGAGTCAAGGTGCTCAAAAAGTGGCGTATTGAGACCAGCACGTGGTCAACTCTCCAGAGAGATCCTCGCCGTTACTCCCGTTTCGACTCTCGCTCCCCACCCTCTGCCAGGGCACCGGGGAAGGGCCTTACCGGTCAGTGAATAGATGAGGCAGCAGCCCAGCAAGGATAGCACGGAGACCAGGGCCCAGTGCGACAGGCTCCGCTTGCGCATACTGCAGTAGATGGAGACCGCGGCTTCGTGACACTGCGAAACAGAGGGCGGCTCAGCGGGACTCGGGCCAGCGGGATGCTGGCTCTACCGGGAATGACGGAGGCAAAAAAAGCACCCACATCCAGAAGATGGGAAACAAACCGCATGCCCACCCAGAGCCGAGGCTGTAAGGACACAGCAGGATGTGAACACACAGAACGTGACACGGCTCTGAAAAAGGACAGACAGCAGCGCACCTCAACACAGAAGAATCTCGCCAACAGAACACAGAATAAAAGCTGCCAGCCGGGGGCCGGGCACGTGCAGTGGCTCACGCCTGTCATCCAGCACTTCGGGAGGCTGAGGCGGGCAGATTACCTGAGGTGAGGAGTTCGAGACCAACCTGGGAAAACCCGTCTCTACTAAAAATACAAAACTCAACCAGACGTGGTGGCAGGTACCTGTAATCCCAGCTACTTGGGAGGCTGAGGCAGGAGAAGCGCTGGAACCTGGGAGGCAGAGGCTGCAGTGAGCTGAGATTGTATCACTGCACTCCTGCCTGAGAGACACAGTAAGACTCAAAAGAAAAAAAAAGAAGCCAGACAGCAGGGAACATGTCCGTTGATGGATGCGAAGCTTAAGTTACAAGATGAGCGATTCTAGACCAGGGTTTCTTAGTCCTGGCACTACTAATGTCTGGGGTGGGATAACTCCTGGCAGCCGACCTATGCGTTGGGGGGGTTGTGCAGTATCCCTGGCCAGGACCCACTAGATGCCAGGAGCAGCCCCCACCCCCCAACCTGTGACAATCCAATGTCTACAGACACGGTCAAGTGTTCCCTGGGGGTACAACCAACCCACAGGAACCCCACTGTGTGGTGCTACAAGGCAGGATGGTAGTTTGGGGGGGTGCTACTGACTAGTAAAGGCCATGAATGGGTTCCCAGGGGCTTGACCATGTCACAAGCGTGCACACATACTCACGATCTACATACTGTATATGTAACATGCCATATTGGGATAAAAAAAATTTACTGGTAGAGATGGGTTCTTACTACACTGCCCAGGCTGGTCTCAAACTCTGAGCTCAAGCAACCTCCTGCCTTGGCCTCCCAAAGTGCTGAGATTAAAGGTGCAAGCCACCATGCCCATCTGGAGTAAGAATTTTAAATGTAGGAGGGTGTGGTGGCTCACGCCAATACTCCCTGCACTTTGGGAAGCCGAGGCAGGTGGATCACCTGAGGTCTGGAGTTTGAGACCAGCCTGACCAACATGGCAAAACCCCGTCTCTACTAAAAGTACAAAAATTAGTCCAGTATGGTAGTAAGTGCCTGAAATCCCAGCTATTCAAGAGGCTGAGGCAGGAGAGTCACTAGTCTCTTGAGACCAGGAGGTGGAGTCTCACTTTGTCACCAAGACTAAAGTGAAGTGGCGCCATCTCACCTCACTGCCACCTCCGCTTCCTGGGCTCAACCAACTAGCGACTCTCTTGCCTCAGCCTCCCGAGTAAGGGGGATTATAGGCATGCCTGGCTCATTTTTTATTTTTCCTTTTTTTCTCTGAGATAGAGTCTCATTCTGTCACCCAGGCTGGAGTGCACTGGTACCATCTGGGCTCACTGCAACCTCTGACTCCCTGGTTCAAGCCATTCTCCTGCCTCAGCCTCCTGAGTAGCTGGCATCACAGGCATGTGCCACCACGCCTAGCTAATTTTTGTATTTTGACTAGAGACAGGGTTTCACCATGTTAGCCAGGCTGGTCTCAATCTCCTTTTCTTGTGATCCACCTGCCTTGAGCTGAGATCGCACCATTGCACTCCACCCTGGGCAACAAGAGCGAAACTCTGTTTTAAAAAAAAAAACACTGGAAGCCCAGGCTGGAGTGCAATGGTGCGATCTCAGCTCAATGCAACCTCCACCTCCCAGGTTCCAGTGATTCTCCTGCCTCAGCCTCCCGAGTAGCTGAGATAACAGGCACCTGCCATCATGCCCAGCTAATATTTTGTATTCTTAGTAGAGACAAGGTTTCATCATGTTGGCCAGGCTGGTCTCAAACTCCGGACCTCAAGCGATTCTCCCTCCTTGTCCTCCCAAAGTGCTGGGATTAAAGGTATGACCCACCAAACCCAGCTCAAAAATTCTTTTTTTGTTTGTTTGTTTTTGTTTTTGTTTTTGTTTTTGTTTTGAGACAGAGTTTCGCCCTTGTTACCCAGGCTGGAGTGCAATGGCGCGATCTCAGCTCACCGCAACCTCCGCCTCCTGGGTTCAGGCAATTCTCCTGCCTCAGCCTCCTGAGTAGCTGGGATTACAGGCACGTGCCACCATGCCCAGCTAATGTTTTGTATTTTTAGTAGAGACGGGGTTTCACCATGTTGACCAGGATGGTCTCGATCTCTCGACCTCGTGATCCACCCGCCTCGGCCTCCCAAAGTGCTGGGATTACAGGCTTGAGCCACCGCGCCCGGCCTCAAAAATTCTTAATGCAAAACCTACAGAGCCAATGCCAACAGCCCATGAGTCATGTGGACTCATTTCTCTGGGCGGGTGGTGGACACGGGTGTTTCATGAGCAGCTGAGGGAACACAGATGTGAAGCCAGGGCATCTGGGGAGGCACTCCACTATCCAGACACGCCTGGGGCTCCCCTCCCTGCCTCAGGGCCTTTGCCTGGGCTGGTCCTTCCAGCCGAAGCTGGTTTCCTGTCTCACATGGCCCAGGGCCCCAACGTGGCTGGGCTTTTGGGTTTGTCTGCTCGGCGCCTATCAGTCACACAACAAGGACGAGCTTGTCTACCTTGTTCGGAATGTGAAGTCTTCACCTGTCACAACAGGGATGAACCTAACATGGCAAGGGAGGAAAGCTTGTGGAAAAAGTCCACAGTGGGATTCCATTCCTAGGAGATGGCCATGGGGGGCAAATCCAGAGAGACAGGAAGCAGAAGAGCTGTCGGCAGGGGCAGGGAACGGAGGGTGCCTGCTGACGGCAGTGGGTTTCTTCTGGGGGCGACAGAGAGGTTCCGAATTGAGCGTGGTGATGGTCGCACAGCTCAATGTACTAAAAAAAACACTGCACTGGACACTTGAGGAGGGCGCATTGCAAGGTATGTGAATTCTGCCTCAATAAAGATGTTTCTTAAAAACACAAAAACCCCAAGTCCTGATAAAGCTTCACCACTCTGCCCCTCCGAGGTGTCCGCTCACTGACTGGACGGGCCTGGGACGGAGGCACCCCACTGCCACGTGTTTGGGTGGGGACACTGTGTTTGAGTCAGATCCGAGTTCCTGACGACAATCGGTGACCGTCCCCCTTCCCTGCAACCCTCTCCAGCCTCGTCCTCTTTCCCACCACCTTCAGCTACATTGATTCGCCCACAGCTCCAGATCCTGGCAGCCCCACCTCTAGCCTGAGCCCCTCCTCCCACTCCTTGAATTCCCCTCTTCCCAGCTCTTCATCTCAGCATCCTGTGTCCCTGGAAACGCAGCCCAGGCCTCGTTGCTAGGAGAATCAGGTGAGGGCTGGAGGCAAAGGTGAGGGGGACCCTTTGTAAGCATCTCGTAGGGGAGGCAGCTCAGGCGTGGGTCTGCAGCACCATATGGTGCTTGAGCACAGACAGGGCTTGTTAAACTCAATCCAGACAAACAGTTGACAGCAAAATCAGCTCTTTAGATCTTTCAAAATATTGGGCGTGCAAAAAGCAATGTGAGAAATCCACAGAAGTGGCTTGCCGAGGCCTGGAGGCAGCATGCCGACTCATTACGAGGAAGAGAAATGGAAATGTTGCAGGATTTCTTTTCTTCCTAAAAAGGGTTCTCAAAGGAAAGGCAAGATGAAGAACAGAAGCAGGATCTCACCGATGGACAAGGGAAGAGAAGAACTCAATGGCTACAAAGCTGAGATCCGGTAGCGACCCCGGCCCGCTCGCTGTGCATTGATTTTACTTTGGAATACTTTTGTTGGTGCTGGTGGTAGGCAGTGGATAGGCGGTTGTTTTTAGGAGATAGAGGCAAATCTTCCCTAAAATAAGAACGTGGCCAGGCACGGTGGCCCACGCCTATAATCCTAGGACTCTGGGAGACGGAAGTGGGTGGATGGATCACTTGAGGTCAGGAGTCGGAGACCAGCCTGGCCAACATATGAAACCTGCTCTGTACTAGAAAAAAAAAAAAAATCAGCCAGGCTTGGTTGTGCGTGCCTGTAGTCCCGGCTACGCGGGAGACTGAGGCAGGAGAATTAGTGAGCTCAGATCCACTGCACTCCAGCCTGAGCAACAAGAATGAGACTCCATCTCGGATCAAAAAAAAGAAAAAGCAACGGAAGAACACTGTTTGCTGCTACCTCCTAGGAGGGCTGGGGGAACCCATGACAGCCCAAAAGCATGGGACAGCACTCAGGCCCTGCCATCTCCCCCTATCTCCTCCCCCTATCATCTCCCCACCCCATACCCCCTCGCATCCCCCCCACCCCGCCATGTTTGCCATGTTCCTCAAAGCACTGTGCCACAGAGCCCTCTGCAGGCCCCTCTCCGGCTGTGCCTGGGGCCTGCTCACGTCGGCGGCCCGCTGTGCTGTCCTCTCCACCTGGGCTGCTCTTCCAGTCACCTGGCTTCGTCCCATACAACCTTCAAGATCCCTTTCAAACCCCACCACCTGGAATGGACGCCTACAACTCTGCCCCTCTGCCAGGATTCTACACACAGAGCCCCGTCCTCCGTCCCGTGACATGCTATTAAAAATTCAGTATTTCTACCCGCTTCCCCTCTCTAATTGACCACCTGTGCACCTTCCAGCTCCTCTAACCTGTACCCATCAGGAGGCGAGCACTTTCCTTCCCAAGGCCCTGGGCAGAGTCCACTTGCGTACAAGTGACCTGCCAGAGTTAATTGGGCAGCTCTAGGCTCCAGGCCTCAGGCCTGATCACAGTTCTGTGGGGGTTCTGCAGAGGAGGGGACAGGTCCCAGGTCTCCACACCTGCCTCAGACCCAATAAACACAGTGCTGCTCTTGGCCACCTGTGGGGGCTGCGTTCCCAAGTTCAAGCCAATTCCCACCTTGCTGAGCCCAGACACCAACCCGCTCTCACGGTCTCAGGAGACAGCCTGGGGACCACAGGTGTACAGCAGAGAGCCCACTGTATCCTAGGAGAAGTCTCAAATTCCTCTCTGACAGGGAAACCAAGGTTTCCCAAGGGAGCAGAGAGTCACCCACAGCCTCTGCAAATGCCACAGTCTTCAAAGCAGATGCTCAAATTACCTGAAACCCGAAGCAGATGGTCGGGAAGATGCTGAACATAGAGGTCCAGGAGGCAGGGCTGTAAACAGACGAGAACAGGAGTTCATTATAGAAGGGTCACACCGGAACAAACCACGGCTGCAAGTGTGCATTTCAAAGGATGCCGGGAAACAGTAACAGAGCGTGGCTGCAAGATGCATTTTCATTGAGTGTCTGTGACCAGGCTTTTGCAAATGGAAAAGGATACTAGCTAAAGGCTGCACTTCCTAAATACGTCTTTGCTGACATGTGGTAACATGGCATGGTCCGTTTGGGCAGGGAAAGTGCAGGAAGGAACTCCCCACTTCCCTCTTAAAGACTCCAGGCCCCCAGTGCAGTTTGGTAACAAGGGGACAACCGCAGCATCTTTCCAATGATCCCAAATAGCACAAGGATGGTTTGAGCTCCGTCCAAGCCACCTAAGAGGACAGAGGTGTGCATGAGGACCACCTCCAGGCCCAGCCTCTCGGGATCCCCGCCTGGTCCCCAGCTTCCTCTGACGAACTTTGCAGGTGTAATTAGTGAAAATGAGACGAGGTCATACTGGATTAGGGTGGGCCTGAATCCAATGCACAAAACACAAATGGAGACAGCGTGGCATGGGGATCAAGGCCGAGATTCAGTGACGCGTCTGCCAGCCAAGAACACAGATCTCCGCATCTCCCAAAAGCGGGAAAGGCAGCAAAGATCCTCCCCTGAAGCTGTCAGAGGGAGCACGCCCTGACACACTGTGGACTTCCAGGCAGCAGAAGGGAGAGACACTTCTGATATTTTAGGTCACCAAGTGTGTGGTCACTTGTCACAGCAGCCCTCGGACACTCACATCTCCTAACTCACCATCTCCTGTTTTAAGCAGGTCCTCCTCACCCCCACCACCTGCCAGTGCTGGAGTACCACAGGCTTGGCGAACAGCCTTGAATGCTGGCTCCAGGCCACTGTCAGCCCCGTTTCTCCTGCAGCTGTGACCTCTCTCCCTCAACTCCAGACACAGACACACACCCACCCACCCACCCCAGCTGCTTGACTTCCCTCTTAGATGTCTCAAGGTTGGCTCCCCCTTGACTGTTTCAGCCTGAGCTGCTCCCAGGCGCCCACCCCTCTCTGTCCTCTCCAATCTGGAAACCGGTATCTTCATCCCTCCCACTGTTCAAGCTGAGAGCTCTAAGTCACCCTGACTTTCTTCTCTCTCTTACTCACCTTCCAACCCGCCAGCAGGACTGGCCACAGAATTCACAGGGCCGGGTGCAAAATGAACATGCAGGGACCCTCGGTGGACAGCGATTCAGGATTTTAAAATGGCGACAGCAGGATAAAACTGAGCATGGGGCCTGGGTGACTGCATGGGTCCCACACCCATGAACCAGCCCTGCCACTGGGAAATCTGATCTCAGGCACCTCCGAAGGGCTGGGACCTGGGCCCTAGGCAGGGGCCTCCCACGTGGCCTCTGTGGCTGCCCTTGGCTCCCAAAGACCAAAGAACAGCCAGAGTGAGTCTTTTGATTTAATTGCTTTTTTTTTTTTTTTTTTTTTTTTTTTTTATGAGACGGAGTCTTGGTCTGTTGTCCAGGCTGGAGTGCAGTGGTGCAATCTCGGCTCACTGCAACCTCCACTTCCCGGGTTCAAGCAATTCTCCTGCCTCAGCCTCCTGCCTAGCTGGGACTGCAGATGCCAACCACCATGCCCAGCTAAACTGCGTATTTTAGTAGAGACAGGGTTTCATCATTTGGCCAGGCTGGTTTTGGACTCTGATCTCAAGGGACCGATCTGCCCTAGCCTCCTAAAGTGCTGGGGTTACAGGTATAAGCCACCACACCCTGCCCAGAGTGACCCTCTTTAAAAACAAGGCCTGTCGCATCCCTGCTCTACTCAAAACACTGCCAAGCCTCCCAGCTCAGCCAGAGCAAAACCCAAGTCCTCACCGTGGCTTCGAATCCCCACATGACTCCCCGCCCACACTCTCTGCCCTTGTTTGGGCCAGCCTGGCCCCACCAGCCCCTTGCCGTTCCCCTGCCCTGGCACATGCAGCTGACTGGCTGCCAGGTCCTGCAGCTCCACGCTGTGGGGACAAGTCCGCACCAGCCTATGACCCCTAGGCGGCCGCTGCCTTGGGCAGTTTTGCATCTCTTGTCCCGTCTGGGTCATCACTACCCGCAGCCAGGTTTCTGCTGCAGAAGGAAAGGGACCCTCCCTTGGCTTCACCGCAGAGATGGAAAGGCCTGCATGGAAGGAGCCTGAGCTCTGCAGGGAACATGAAGGGCTTTTCCTCCAAGACCCCCCTGGCAGACTCCCAAGCCGGGCCTCCCCGTCGCGGCCGCCGGCAGCTGTTCCCCCAGACTCACCTGAGTGAAGGACCGGGCTCACGCATGAGGCCCTGGGGCCAGAGGTAGTACTGCACTGTGATGACCAGGGCCAGGTACCAGGCGGCCAGCGTGCCTAGGATGCTAACACACAGTGGCCGTGTGAGGGGCTGCGCAGTGGGCGATGTGTGCCGTTGATGGACGCGAGGGACAGCGGGATCCAAACCGCAGCTCTGCCCTTGACAGTGAGGTGCCAGCCGAGCTCTCCACCTCCGCCTGACCGTCCTCGTTTGTACAGTGGGGCTCGTGGGGCAGGCCTCCTCCGAGGGCCAGAGAGCAGAGGCACAGAATTGTTTTGAGATGGAGTCTCACTCTGTCACCCAGGCTGGAGTGCAGTGGCACAATCTCAGCTCACTGCAACCTCTCCTTCCCGGGTTCAAGCGATTCCCCCGCATCAGCCTCCATAGTAGCTGGGACTACAGGTGTGCGTCACCACACCCAGCCAATTTTTGTATTTTTAGTAGATACCAGGTTTCACCAGGTTGGTCAGGCTGGTCTTGAACTCCTGACCTTGTGATCCGCCCGCCTTACCCTCCCAAAGTGCTGGGGTTACAGGCGTGAGCCACTGTGCCTGGCCCAGATGTACAGAATTCTCAGTGGCACCCGATGGCAGCTGTAATATAATTTCCTTCCCACCAGCAAAAGCTAGTCAGCCACTCAGCCTGACGCCTAAGTCAAGACCCCAGCAGGCTCAGTCACACTGGAGAGGGGACAAGCCCCCCTGGCTGGGTCCAAGTGGCACGAGCGCCTTGCAGGGCGGAGGCCTAGGGGAGGCTCGGGTTTGCTGCCTGCTGTTTCTACACGGTGTCTATTGTTCTACACACAACAGGGGAAAGGCAGGCGGCAGAGAGCGATGGATACTGTTGCCAAGGTTGATTTCTTCAAATGTATACAGAGCCTTAGCCACCAAATGAAAAACCACCTCTGTGTGTGTGTGCGTGTGTGTGTGCGCCCGTGTGTGCGTGTGTGTGTGTGTGTGCTGGCGGGAGCTGTCCGTCTCTCTGCGCCGATGTACAAAAAGTCTGAGAATGAAATAAACCGTGAGTAGCACTGATGGTGTTACGGGTCATTTGCTTTTTTGGATTGCCTTCTCCGGCATGACACATTTTAGTTGTATCATCTTTTATTGCTTTTCCCTTCTCCAAACGGGAAGGCCAATGCCCCAGCTCCTCTAACCCCAGGTGGGTAGAAACCGACATGAATGCTCAGTGAGGTGGGGGCCCCCACCAGGAGGCATCCCCCAGCCCTTACCTTGTGTATTTCTGGAAGGCGATCTCCCGTGGGGCAGACAGGGGCAGGATGACCAGCACGGAGAGCAGGGGCAGGGTAAAGCGCTGGTCTGCGTACCAGGGCCGCGGAGCGGGCGGTGTGCCAGACAGGAGGGAGTCACACACTGGCAGAGACACAGGGAGAGCTGAGCCACAAAGCACAAAATGCCGTGGGTTCCTGGCTCCTGCACGGCCTTTGAATCCTGGGTGGGGTTGGACTCAGCCCTCAGCCAGCCCCAGGAGACCGGGGAGGGGATCACAAGCCAGGTGGAGACAGGTCACATGCCCCACGCGGGAACTAACCCTGACACATGAATTCATTCAACAAACATTTGCTGAGCTCCTTCCACGAGCCCAGCCCTTCTTTTTTTTTTTGAGACAAGAGTCTCACCCTATTGCCCAAGATCTCAAGTATAGTGGCGCGATCTCGGCTCACTGCAGCCTCTACCTCTCAGGTTCAAGTGATTCTCCTGCCTCAGCCTCCCGAGTAGCTGGGATGAGAGGCACTCGCCACTACACCTGGTTAATTTTTGTATTTTTAGTAGAGACGGAATTTCACCGTGTTGATCAGGCTGGTCTCAAATTCCTGATCTCGTGATCTGCCCATCTCGGCCTCCCAAAGTGCTGGGATTACAGAAGTGAGCCACCATGCCAGGCCCGCCACCCTCTTAAGGCCTGAGATGCGGGGATGACCAGGCCAGCCAACTGCCCTCACGCCCCTTACATTCTGGTCAAAGACCCTATGGTTTCACTCAGGAACCCAATGGTGCCTGGGGTCAAATGTGGGTCTGAAATAGATTTTTGGGTGCTGAGCGGGCAGTGCCAGGCTGTGTATCAGCACTGCAGGTCCCCATGGCTGCAGCAAAACCATGACCCCAGACACAGTGGCTTAGAACCATGTTATCACATCACTGACTGTAGGTAAGAATTAGTACAGGTCCGAGCTGGCCAATCCTGCTCCATACAGCGTTGGCAGGGCCACGTGGGTACCTGGCTGGCAGTGGGGCTAGTCTGGACAGCCCACGATGGCACCCGCACACCTGGTACCTAGCAGGTACACCTGAGCTCCCTACAGTTTGGGAGTCTCTACATGGGCATGTCTAACAGGCGCCTCCAGCTTCTTCCACGCAGCTGGGGGATTCCAGAGCCCGAGGCAGAAGCTACCTAGCCTCTTAAAAGCCAGGCCCTTTAACTGGCACAGCATCCCACTTACCACACACTGCTGGGCAAAGCCATCCCAGGCCCACCTAATTCCAAGGCAAGGGACACAGGCCCCACTGACCACTCCATGGTAAGAACGCCAGAGAATCTCGGGACATTTTCATTCTGCCACAGTAGGATGAACGATTTGGAACCAATCTAAGAGGCCTGATACATGGAGGAGGGGAAGCATAGGAGAGTGGGAAGGTGGCTCGAAGCGGGAGCCCCTGGGAACCACGTGGGCGGGTGAGGGGAGGAGAGGGGGGCACTGAGGTGTCATAAATGCCTCTCTGCTCTCACTCAACAAGGGCACCCATGCAAAGCAATGAATGCCTGTGAGAATAGCTCCTGTCTACCAAAATGAGGCAGGGGAAAGTTCCACAAGCACGTAGTTCACAGAAGCACCCACATGGGAGGGCCAGGGATGCCAAGGGAATGCACACCCTCGAGAAGGGCAGTGGGATCGCGGGTGGGTTTTGGACCTGCAGGCAGCATGGGATGAGGCAGTCCCTTTGTCTGCATCTGGACTTCCCATAGCCAGGGTCCTCGGGTCCTAAGCAGGACTACACCAGCTCCTTCCTAAACCCAGAAGGGCTCAAGATCTTCAGCACCAAAGACAAGGTCATGTGGACCTCATGCCATGGCTCCCCCAAGCACTCCAACCTCTGTCTAGCACTCCCTCTCAGAAGCTTGGCCTTCCCTATGCAGACACATCCCCAAATATCTAACCGGAAATACACAACGAACACTCTCTCCACCACAGTCAATCCACCCAGATGTGGGGTAGCCCATATCCTAATCCGTCCTCTTAGCAGTGAGGGGGCTCTGCTCATGGTGAGGCTCAGAATCCTTCTTGACACAGCAACACTACGGTTCCCCAGTGTTGACACTTCAGACCAACTCTAATTGCCATTGGTGGGCAGGACGTTTCTGTGCCCATTTACTCATTAAGAGGTTCGGATATGCCCATCTCAGTTCTTTTTGATGTAAGATAGTCTTTACAAAGACACAGCAGCCTTCTATTTCAATACCCCACAGTCAGGGGCCTTTTGCTTCATGGGTCAAGAGACACACAGAACAAATGGCAAACGGTAGGCTGCATTTCACCCTCTCACCAATCACATTCCAATTAGAAGTCTAAATATTCCTATCTGAAGTCTGCAACTGTCAAGTTGGATAAAAAACCAAGCCCTGACCATATGCTGTCTATGAGAAATGCATTTTAAAATCCCAAGCCATTCTCAGGCTGGTGCTGCAAAAAAGGACACACACACACACACACACACACACACACACACACAAATTCCAAACCACAGTTAGATTTTAAGTTAAAGAATGGGTCGGGGGCAGTGGCTCATGCCTGTAATCCCAACACTTTGGGAGGCCGATTCAGACGGATCACCTGAGGTTGGGAGTTCCAGACCAGCCTGACCAACATGGAGAAACCCTGCCTCCACTAATAAAAAAAACAAAACTTACATGGGCATGGTGGTACATGCCTGCAATCCCAGCTACTAGAGAGACCGAGGCACCAAAATCATTTGAACCCGGGAGGCAGAAGTTGCAGTAAGTTGAGATAGCACCATTGCACTCTAGCCTGGGCGACAAGGGCAAAACTCCGTCACAAAAATAAATAAATGAGAAGACAACTTCTATGTAAACACTAGTCTTAAGGAGGCTAGTGTGGCTATATTAATAGTAGAGAAGAAGATTTAACGCCAGAGATAAATATTTCGTAACAATAAAAGGATATACGTGCTCAGCGTTTCAAAGACTGTGAAGCACGCAGGCTGACAGAATTAAACAGGCTCATCTGCAATCGCAGCTGGTGATTTTAACATCCTTTAACCTCCTCTCTCGGGAATTGATAGAATAACTAGACCCACAAATTACTATGGTTGCCATGGAAGACCTTAACATAGCTGTTGGCCACCTTGACCTACTGGACCCAGCAACTGCAGAGTACACATTCTTTGAAGAGCACAAAAAAAGCTCTTCAAGACAGACCATGTGCTGGGCTACAGAGCAAGCCTCACTCGATCTCCAAAGACTGAAATGACACAGAGTGTGTTCGCTGACCACGATGCAAATTAAGGTAGAAACCACAAAGGTATCTAAAAACTCCTAAGTAATTGGCAATTAAACACCACAATTCTAGACAACTCATGAGTCATAGAAACCACAGTGAAAATTAGCCAATATTTTAAGTTTTCCACTCGCGAGAAATGAGTCAAATGAAAACAGAACATAACGGAATTGTGAAGATGCAGCTAAAGCAGTGCTTAGAGGGAAAATCCTAGGAACTAGAGACCAAGGTTGCATGAAGGCTGAGAGCCACAGCCACCCCAAAGTTAAAGGCGTTACTGGTTCTCTCTGAGAAAGGCTTCCTGTTGCTGGTCCATTTCCTCATCTGTGAAATGAGCTGTCCCCACTGGACATCCCAGTTGTGGCCACAACCTCTCCTGTGTACTTACACACACCATGATTCTCATCCCACCGGTGACTACCTGTTCTGAGCCTCCCTTCCCCACCATGTTAGGAACAAGAGTGTGGTGTCAGCCTCTGCTGTCCCTCAGAGCCCAGACCAGGGCCCCTTGTCCTGCTCACCAACCAGAGGCCCCAAGAGGTCATTAGGGGTCCAGCACCCTGGGCCCCCTCAAGTCCCATAAAGGTACTTACGCTTTTCCAGCTGGTCCCCGATCACCCTGAGGAAGGCCACAGAGATCATGAGCAGGTTGACGAGGAAGCAGGCCTCACACAACTTCCCGATGGCGGGGCCACACAGTCCCCTAACCACACCCTGGTAGGTGGCCTGGCCACTGACAGCAGCAGCATAGCCCAGGATGACCAGCCCGCTGACCAGGAAAACCAGGGAGACCTGTGGAGCAGAACCGGGAGCTGGGGTGTGCCCACAGCCCCCCCACCCCCAGCCAGCCACCCCTCAGGCACACCCTCCACATGGCTTCTGCCCACAGAGGCCAGAGCTGCTGACATCATGGGGGAGGGGGACTCTACCAGCGAGGTCACTGTCCTCCCCTCCACCCAACCTGCAACAGAGCTGCAGAGTGGGCCACTTCTGGTGACCTCACTGGCTCTAGGCTGTGAACCTGAGAATCTGAGACCATCCTGCCTCAGTGGGACAAAGGAGACATCAGAGACCCAGAGTTCACTCTCTTGAAATCGCCTGGGTTGTGGGTAGAGAGACAGTAAGCATGGACTGGGCACAGCTGGGCTTAGATTGTAACCACCACGCACCTTCTGTGGCATGAGGCAGGCTGGCAACCCCTGCTTTCCATCTGGGAAATGGGGGTGGCACTGCCACCCTTGCAGGGGTGCTATGACATGTCAGGACCGAACAAGGCCTGTGACACACTTGGCTCAGCACATGAGTGCTTAAGAAATGGTGTTCCAGCTGGGTGCGGTGGCTCTTGCTTGTAATCTCAGCACTTTAGGAGGCCCAGGCCAGCGGATCACCTGAGGTCAAGAGTTTGGTACCAGCCTGACCAACACAGCAAAACCCCGTCTTCACTAAAAATAAAAAAATTAGCCAGGCATGGTGGCAGGCTCCCGTAATCCCAGCCACTCGTGAGGCTGAGGCAGGAGAATCGCTTAAACCCAGGAGGTGAAGTTTGCCGTGAGCCGAGATCATGCCACTATATTTCAGCCTGCTGGAAAACAGGGAGAAAGAAATTGTGTTCCCTCTATTTCAGCTGCTATTAATAATTTTCAGGCCAGGTGCTGTGGCTCACGCCTGTAATCTTAACACTTTGGGGTGGGGTCCCCGAGGTGGGCAGATCACCTGGGGTCAGGAGTATGAAACCATCCCGGCCAATATGGTGAAACCCCACTCTCCACTAAAAATACAAAAATCAGCCAGGTGTGGTGGCACATGCCTGTAATCCCAGCTAATTGGGAGGCTGAGGCAGGAGAATCGCTTGAACTCAGGAGGTAGAGGCTGCAATGAGCCAAGATCACACCACTGTACTCCAATCTAGGTGACAGAGTGAGACCCCATCTCAAAAAAAACAAAAACTGCAGATGTACAGGAGAGTTGAAAGAATTTTACAGTGAATGCCCCCTGTGGGCAGCCACCCGACTCCCTCAAGACACATCGCTGTACTTGCTTGACTGCTTCCCCACCCTTCTACCCATGCCTCTGTGCGGCCATCGGTGCACCTTAAGGGACTGCACTTTGAAGCAAGTCGCAGATACCCATGTGCATCCTCTGGAATAGTCTGGCATGCCTCCCATCCATTAGAGCTTGATGTGTGTTTGTTCATAGACCTTTTCCCTTATGGGGCAAATATTTACATGTAAAATGCACAAACTCTTCAGTGTATTGCTGGAAGATGTTCAACAATGCACACATGCCAGCCAAACCCCACCCTCACCCTGGACGGTCCCACGGGTCCCATTTCTGTCTCCATCCATCCCCAGAAGAAACACTGGTCTAGTGTTTTCCACCTTTGTAACATTCCCGGCTCCCCCTGCTCCACCGCGCATGCGAGATGGATCCACACTGTACACACAGGCGGCTGGTGCCTTTTGCTAACAATCCACTGTCTGAATACATCACAATTAGTTCGTTCCACATCTAATCCCTAGAGCCTGTGAATGTCGCTTGTTGGAAACAGTTTTTACAGATGTCAACAAGGAAAAGGTAATTCAGTGAAAAAAGGTTTTGCCTGTGTCATTAAGGATCTTGAGGTGGGGTCATCTTGGATCATCCACGTGAGCCCCCAACCCAATGAGGAGTGTCCTTGTAGAGACAGGAGAGGAGGAGGCAGAAATTGGGTCACACGGCCATCAAGCTGAGGAGCCCCTGGAGCCACCGGGAGCTGGAAGAGCTTTTGGAGGGAGTGAGGCCCTGCTGACACCTTCATGTCAGACTCCTGCCCTCCAGAACTGGGAGAAAATACATTTCCAGTGTTTGAAGCCCTCCCTTTCGTGGTCATCTGTTGTAGCATTCCCAGGAAACGGACACTGGCAACTGTAAAACATGGAGGGATTTCTCCAACGCCCTGCTCACCCAGGCTCTAAGCTCCGTGAAGCCTGGACAGTGTCTGTTTTCTATTTTGCCCAGAGAAGGGCCTGATACATACAGACACTCAGAAAACATCTGTGGTTGAAAGGCAGGGGACCGGGCGCGGTGGCTCACACCTGTAATCCCAGCACTTTGGGAGGCTGAGGGGGGTGGATCACCTGAGGTCAGGAGTTCAAGACTAGCCTGACCAACATGGTGAAACCAAAATTCGCCGGGTGTGGTGGCGCATGCCTGTAATCCCAGCGACTCAGGAGGCTGAGGCAGGAGAATCGCTTAAACCCGGGAAGCAGAGGTTGCAGTGGGCCGGGATTGTGCCACTGCACTCCAGCCTGGGTAACAGAGTATGACCCTCAAAAAAAAAAAAAAAAAAAAAAAAAGAGTCAGGGAAAAGGGGAAGGTGTGGGCGCGACTAAGCCTCACCTGTGAGCCATCCCTAAACAGGTCACTGCAACAGGGACTGAGCCTCCAGGCAGCAGAACAGCAAGGAGCCCTGGCTGCCGTGCCAGGCCCGGCCCCTCCACAGGTCCCAAGAGGGGATTTGCTCATTTTCATCGAACGTCTTCCATCCAAGCACTAACCAGCCCCAATCGTGCTTAGCTTCTGTGATCAGATGAGATCGGGTGTGTCCAGAGTGGTATGGCCCTAGACGGTTTTCATCAAACGTGGCTAAACCTCCAACCCTAACGAGTCAGGCCTCCAACCTCTGCCCACTGAATTCAGGTGTAAATGCCCCCCATACAGAAGCCTCACTAGCCAAGTAGGGGGAAGCAGGCTCCCCCAGATCTCCTGTCCTTCACAGTGACATCCAGACCGGCAGCCCTGGAGATTAAAGGAGCAACTTGGAGTGGTGGGAGCTTGTCAAGAGGCAGCCTGGCTCCTCTGCTCTGCGCGAGTTTCCATTTACACATGTCTGGGTTCCCTCCTCGAGTCCGCTGATCTCCAGAGGTCATCCTATGCAAGACAGCCGTCTGCCCAAAGCAAGTCAGACACTCAGTCTCAGCTCACCCCAGCCCTGCAGGGCCAGGGTGACATGGTAAATGCCCCATCAAACTGTACACCTCAACCATACGGCGGCTTTCTGTTGAAGCTGCTCTCTATAACCCTGATGTGACAGGCAAGCAGTCCAAACCCACGCCATCTTGGCCCTTGTGACTTGTAATAAGTAACTAAGGTCTGTAATTTCCACCCTACCCAAGCAATGTGTAAACTACGCTTATCTTGACTTCTGTGAACCACTTAAGTAACAATCAGAATGTCCCAAGTCCACTGGCCCTCGGAATGTCCAAAGCCCCTCACCCTCACTCCCACCCAGGAGGGGGTTTACAGAAGGTCCAAAGCCCCTCGCCCCCACCGCGGCCCAGGAGGTAGTTTACAGGCATAAAAGGTCTTGACACCCTCCTTTCAGGGCCACGGGTTAGACAGACACGAGTCCTCTGTGGTCGCCGGCAATAAATGACCCTCTGAATTGACTGACTTTTGTCTCAGTGGTAATTCTGTACTCTCTAGGTTGCAACACCAGCATCTGCATTTCAGCAAGACGCGTGGACAGAGCTGGGACACTCCTGGAGCAGGGATCCCCGCCTCTGGCCCACAGTGGTTCCTGCTGCCCTGGGATTGGCCACGACCCTACCCCAAGCTCCATCTCCTCTCCATGGAGCCTCTGTGGCTTGAGATTGGGCTTCTCCCCCATCGCTGTCACGGGCCTTCCAGAAGCACCAGTCCAAACACAGGCATGCCGCCTCTCACGTCACTCTCAGGAAGCTCTTGCCATTTCCAATCGGGCTCGCTGCAAAGGTCACCTCCTCCAAGAGGCTTCTGACCACCCCATGCTGTATCATCCCCAGAGACACCCGACACGCCCTGGCATGATCCACCATCTGAAACGGATGACGCGGATCTTGTCTGACTTCGAATTAGAAAGAAGCTCCAGAAGGACAGGGACCCCACTGCCTCATCCGTCCTAGGCTAGACCAATGCCCGGGGTGCCACAGGTTATACCCGACACTGTGTTTCCAAACAGGAGGAGTCTGAGGACCCACAAACAGCTGGAACTTAGCCATTATCCACCAGCTGCCATAGAACTCGGGAGAGAAGGCCGACAAGGACCTTACCACAAAAGGCAGCAATTCATTCCATCAGCCCGGGGAACAAGATCTTAGAAAATGAAATAAAGCTGTACTCACAAGTGGCTCTCCCACAGCCAAGAGCTCTGCGTCTGCGCTTCCCCAGAAGGGAACCCCAGCTGGGCACCTGGCAGGCAGAAGAGCGAACACCTGGCACCAAGCAAGACCTGGCCGGGCTCTGGGTGGGGGGCATGGAGGGGTCACACCAGTTTAGGCTCAATCTGCACACAGGAGTCCGGGCTTACTTGTTTTCTGTTCGAGATGCAGTCTCACCCTCGCCCAGGCTGGAGTGCAATGGCACAATCTCGGCTCACTGCAACCTCCAACCCCCTGAATTGCTGAATCAGGTTCAAGCAATTCTCCTGATTCAGCCTCCTGAGTAGCTTAAATTACAGGTGCCTGCCACCATGTCCAGCTAATTTTTGCATTTTCAGTAAAGATGTTTTACCATGTGGAGCAGGCTGGTCTTGAACTCCTGAGCTCAGGTGATCTACCCGGCTCGGTCTCCCAAAGTGCTGGGATTACAGGTGTGAGCCACTGTGCCTGGCCCAGCTTTAGTTTGTGAGCTTAGACCAGTAGGCAAGAGCCAGCAGCTGGCCAGGCAGGGGGCTTGGAGAGGCTCTTTCCCGAATGAAATGCCCACTTCACATATGGGAGCTGCGATGCCTACAGCTCCATCCCGCAAGCTAGGTATCAGACGTCACCAGTGGCCACAGGGGGTGTTCTCCCTCTGGGGATACAGTGGGATTATTTCCTCCCCTCATTAGCTGAGTGGGATAGAAAATAAAGCCCCAAAGCTAAAGCTTATGGGACATACAACTCCACAAAAGCAATGCGAAGAACCCTACCCAGAAAAAACAAAAGCCACCTGCTACCTGTCCCCTGGACGCACTTCCTAGGGACTTACCAGTTCCACCAGCAAGGCAGGAACCACGCCGCCCGCTTTGGAGAAGGCCCAGGGAAAGTTGAGCAGGCCAGCTCCCAGCGCAGACTTCAAGAGAATGAAGACAGCGCCCATGGAGGACAGAGTGGCAGCGGTGGTGGCAGGGTTGGGCTTTTCTGGAAGACCTCTGCTTTCTGGGGTCTGTCCCTCCATGGCTCAAGGCAGCAGAGGTGGAAAGTGTCGACTCACACTTTCTTTCCTAAGTTCAAGGAATCCTCAGTGAGGGCTGGTCCAAACACAGGCCTGCCAACTCAGCGTCTCTCCAGGACTCAGTGAGACCTCCCTGAGCCTCTCTAGCCCACTTCCCTGGCCTCGGCTGCCCTTTCCAAAGGGTGCCTCGTGCACCTGCTCATGACTTCTGGTCCCCCTCCTCCTCCCATTCCCTACCGGCATAATTCTCCCACTGGACCCCAAGGCAACCTCACCCCTGCCCCCTCCCTCTCTCTTCCCCATCGATCCTCTCTCCCCCCATTCCCACGCACCTCATTTCCTTCCAGCCACAGTTCTGCACAGACAGAGCCCCAACCCCTGGTCCTTACCACCAAATCCAACCTTTAAGTTGTGGACAGTCCTTGGCCTTCGGGGATGGGACTCGGGCTCACTCCAGGTGGCTCAGCTGGATTTCTTGGGGCTGAAGGGGTGGGAAAAGGAAAATTCTAGCTTGGCCAGGGGCAAGTGAGTCATTAATTAAAGGATTCCTAGCGAGTATGCTTCAGGGTCAGGCCCCCCCACACCTAGGAGGACAGCGACAAGTGGTCAGGGCCATGAGTCCCAAGAATTTGCAGCTTTGAGACCTCTGACTTGAGCAGGGGAAGCTTAAGACTCCTACCTACTCCCCAGCCCCTGCAGGCCCAGCCCAGGGGTGGGGCTTTCTCAGCTGCTCTGGAGAGCGACAGCAAGCTGTGGTGGGGGAGCAGGCACCTGATCTCAGGGCAGCCTCTGCAGCGCTGCCGCCCGCAGAAGCCTCTCTGAGGCCCCCCACCCAAGGAGGAGTTGTGAAAAGCAGAAACCAGCCCCTTCATCTGCAGAACAGGCTCCACAGCCCACAGGTGCTTCCCCCCCCCCCCACCGCCCCCTTCCCCACCCCGGGCGGTTTTCTTCACCTCCACCTCCCAACAGCAGCAGGTGAACTTCAAGCTAATCCCAAGCACATGAGTCACCTGTGGGGCTTGTTGAACGCTCCAGGGAGTGGCAGCTGCTGGTCCATAGGCTACACTTGAGTAGTGGGAGTCTCTGATACGTGGTCAGCTAAGGGGGCCGAATATCGGGGATGGCCCCATTCTGGAAAAAGCAGGCACATGCAGGGCAGATCTGGAAATTGGCCATTTGTTCCTGGAACCCAAGCTCCCTCTCACACACATTCTTAAACTCCAGTTTGCATGAGAATCTGCCAGAGGGCTTGTTCAAACACAGACCACCAGGCCCCACCTGTGTTTCTGATTGAGTGGCTTTGGGGTGCATCTGGTCACCTGGCTTTCTAACAGGTTCCCAGGTCACTCCAGCGCCACTGGGTCAGCCCCTCGTTGAGAACCGCTGCTTTAAGCTAAATGCCTTCAATGCCCAAAGCCCCGCTGCATCCAATCAGTCCTCTGTCCAACACCAGATCAGCCCCCACCCCCTGACTCCTGTTACTTCCCGACAAGCAGCCCGGTCCAACCGTTTCGGCTCACACCGAGGCTGCTCCAGAAATGATCTACCAGCAGTCAGTGGCCAGCTTCTCTGCAGGGGCGAGTGAAACGGAGCCGGGATTGCGGTCCTGGAGATCAAGGCTGGACCGGAGCCCGTATGGCATTCACGCCACTGCCCACTAAATGCGTCACTGAGAACCCAGCCTACTTAAATTCACGCAGATTCCCGAGCAGGTGTCCCCACTGTCCCACAACTCCCACCCCATACCATGCAGGATCTGGGCTCAGGCAGCGAGCACATGTCTCCCAGTATCACAGCTGGTAAGTGACAAAGCTGGGATTCACCCAGCGTCAGGCTCCTCTCGGAGGCTGCAATGTCCCACGGCCTCCTACCACAAGCACTCTGCCTGAATGAGTGTGTGTGTGTGTGTGAGTGAGTGAATGAATACACAGACGCCAGAAAAGACAGGAAAGGGAACATTGTTTGCTTTTTCCGCTGTGTTAGGCTCCTGAAGCTGCCAACACAGATTCAGTGGCTTTAAAACAACAGAAAGTTACTCTGTCATGGTCTTGGAGGCCAGAAGTCGGTCAAGGTAGAAAGGGGGCCATGCTCCCTCTGGAGGCCATGGAGGGAGGGTCCTTCCTGCCTCTTCCCGCTCCTGGGGGCTCGGGCGCTCCCTGGCTGGCGGCTGCATCCCTGCTGTCTGTGCCAGCACCATGTTCCCTTGGCTTTCTCCTCTTTTTTCAGAGGGCCCACCTGGGTAATCCAAGCTGATCGCATCTCAATTTCCTTTAACACATCCACAGAGACCCTTTTTCCAAATAGGGTAACAGTCGCAGGCTACACGGCTTCTCCTCCAGAGAAGGGGATGGTCCCGTGGGGAGATCAAGACCACACAAGCCACCCCAGCCCAATGGGAGAAGGACTGGACTATGAGACCCGAGAAAGGAGACAAATCTGGAAGGGCTTCCTGGAGAAGGTGTGGTGGGCTGAGGAGATGTCTATGCATCGGTGGTGAAGGGCTGGGGGGATGTTCTGGGAAGTGGAGACTCCCCCTGCCCGGGTCATGAGCCAGTGCTTCCAGGAAGGCCCACAGTGGACGGGCGTTCCCTGGGATAGAGACCCTGGTCAGGGCTGAGCTGGGAATGGCTTAGACTCTGTGTCCCACTTGCTGGAGGGTCACTAAACCATGTGGACATGGCACTGGACACAGCAAGGAAGGCAGGGGCTGTGGGTGGCATGGCAGGCAGGGCTGTGCAGTAGCCCAGGCTGGGGGAGGGCGGGGCCACACGCAGTGTTCACGCAGCTCTCCCAGGCCTGCCAGAGAGGCCAAGTCATTCACGCTTCCCCAAATCCGGCCTCCGAGAAAGGAGATAAAGGGGCCTTCATCAGCGGCTGTGGGCTTTGTACTCCATAATCTCCACTGCGGGATTGGAGGACACTTCCCTGTCCCTGCCGGTGGGTCCCTCATTAGCAGCCCATTAACGTGCATGACTTAGAAATTGGCCACCGGGCTGTGAAATTCCAGGCAATGGGGAAAACCTCTTAATTCCAAGGGACTTTGATATCCACCCTTTGCCGGCATCACAGGGCTGTGTGACCTTTCCCGAGCTGTGGAGGGGCGCCCTGCTGGGCTCCATCTGCAGCTGGTGGGTGGGCAGCCACCCTCTGCTCAGTCGGCCCAGCCCTCCTGGGCCTAGCTCTGGCGAAGCAGGAGCATGAGGAGGCCGCACAGAGGTGCCATGTGGATGCCGCCAGCCGTGGCCCACACTGCCCTGCACGGGAACACCCAGCATGGCCCAGCCTTTCTCCGAGATGCTGCAGGGACTCCCCCCACCAAAGGAGCTCCTGAGGACCCTCCCTTCCTTCTCCAGAGTCAGGTGACAAGCTTAGGAACTTTCAACGAGGCCTCTGATCATTTCCCAGACCGTCCATTAGAAAATTCCAGACAACAGATGCAGGTGCGGTGGCTCACACAGAGGTGGGCAGATCACCTGAGGTCAGGAGTTTGAGACCAGCCCAGCCAACATAGCAAAACCCTGTCTCTACCAAAAAACAAAACTTAGCTAGGGTTGGTGGCAGGTGCCTATAATCCCAGCTACTCAGGAAGCTGAAGCAGGAGAATCGCTTGAACCTGGGAGGTGGAGGTTGCAGTGAGCCGAGGTCACGCCATTGCACTCCGGCCTGAACAAAAGAGTGAAACTGTCTCGGGAAAAAATTTTTTTATAATTCTGGAGAACAGATGAGGGCAGGCCTCAGAGGCCAGTGGGCTGCAGCACACGGCATCCTCCTCACCCTGGCTCTGGGATCTCAGACCTGTCTCACTGTCTCAGCTGTGAAATGGGAGGACATGGGCACCTGATCTCGGGCCGGAGGAAGGTGCACGTGGCACAGGAGTGGCCCGTGGCAGCTGCAGAGGTTGAAACAAGTGTGTGTCATACTCCTATCTGAATTTGTTTTCACCTGGGCCCAATTCAGAGCTTCTAAAACAGTGTTCTCAACCTTAGCGACACAAGAACCGCCTTGGGACTTTTCACCCTACCAAGGCCAGACCCACCCGCAGAGCTGCACATTAAACCAGCCCAGGGCAGGACTGGGCGTCAGAAGTTTTTGGGTTTGTTCGTTTGTTTGTTTGAGACAGAATGTCACTCTGTTGCTCAGGCTGGAGTGCAGTGGCATGATCTCGGGTTACCGCAGCCTCTACCTCATGGGCTCAAGCACACAAGAACCTCTCCCAGTTTCCCAGCCACGGCTCCCAAGGGGGCTGCCTGTTCACAAGAATCCTCTGGGGAGGGGAGTGCGTGTGTTAGAATTGACATAAAATTCACTGAACTCCATTCTGGGGCTTACCATTTTAAAGTGTGCAGTCCAGTGACTGTTAAGTACTCACAACGTTGCCCCAGTATCACCACTATCTAATTCCAGAACAGTTTCAGCATCCCCAAAGGAAGAACCCTTCCCCCAGCTCCTGGCAACCATTAATCTACTTCCTGATCTTGTGAAATCTGTCTACTGTAGATATTTCATCATACAAGATGAGGCCTTGTACAGGATGTGCCCTTTTGTGTCCGGCTTCTTTCACTCAGCATGTTTTCCGGGTTCCCTCACGTAGGAGCAGATGTGAGAACTTCATTTCTTTTTATGGCTGTGTTCAGTGGCATGGAGAAGCCACCTTCATCCACACAGCCATCATCACTGCTAGACGTGTGGGCTGGCCCCACCTTTCGGCTACTGTGAACAGTGCAGCTGTGAACATCCACGTATAGGTTATTGTTTGAACACCTTGTTTTCAGTTCTTTTGGGTACAGGCTGAGGAGTGGGATTGCTGGGTCACAGTTCCAGTAATTGTTTGCTCTGAGGAGCTTTTAAAATAGATTCCTAGGCCATTCCCAAGTAACAGATGATCTAGCCAAGCTGGGGTGGGGACAGAGATCTGGGTTTCTAGGATACTTGCCTGCAATGCCTTCTTGTTACCAGCAAATGAAACCAACATTCGGTGATTTAATATCCAATTAAGGGGGTGTTGCCAACCATTTTTTTAAAATCAAGAATTTATTTCTCTAGAAATGTCTATGTAATCTGTATATTAAAAGGGAGACAAACCTTTTGCATATCCTTGACTCTGTATTTTGCGTCCTCTGAAACCAAAATCTCAGTTGACACTCCCATTATTTCCAGCAAGCAGCACCCCCTACCCGCTGTGGGAGGGAGGCAGCCTGAATGGAGGGCTTTGGAGCTCAGGCCAGGCCAGACCCGGGTTTCCTCCTGAGAAGCAGCTCTGAGAGCCCTGGGAGGGATCATGCCTGTGAACCACTGGCATGGGGCACAGAGGCGAGGGCTCATTGGGTGCCAGGGCATGGCTGTGGGCCAGGCTCACCCACTGTGCATGGCTTTCTCAGGAGGTTTCCCTGGAGCCATCGTATGTGGGACATGCTCTGTATGGAACGGACAAGTGTGTTGTGCAAAGATACATCTAGACAGAAGTGTCCCAAACAGGGGAGGGGCCTAAGGAGGAGTCACCATTTGCATCTCATCTTAAAGGTTCCTGCAGTCAAGCCATTGGTGTCTCTAGGGACAGCCAGGGCGAAGGATGACCCCGGACCCCTCTCAGAGCCCCCAGGCCTCCTGTGAACCCCAGGTGTATGTCTGTGGTT